CAATCGGGCCGGAGTCAGGACAATCGCGGCTGTACCGGGAGCAAATGACGCAGAGTCATGTCGGGGGGACGACGCACGAAACGGTATGGAAGGAGGGTTTGTTTCAGTAATGGAGGTCAAAGATTTTTATAATGCTGTTTGTCAGTGGACAACCGGAATCAGGCGGGATAAAAGGATAAGGGGGGTGGGGAAGGGGGGTTAGTGGAAGATTACTGGAGACAAAGAGTTTAAAAACTTCTGGACATGGACGTTTTTGTGGCTGATTCTCCAATTGTACACGAGTTTCTACTTTCGGCTGTCCGCTTTGTTTACTTTCTAGTAGTTTACAACGATCTGATGCTTCTTACATATACAGTGGTGTCTATATATATATATATATATATATACATACAAACACAGAATACGAAATTGGATACTCATTTCTGGTCTGATCGGGTTTTGAAAAAAATATATTTTTTCTTCAATCCAAACAAATCACAATAGACACAGATTTACAATAGTAATACTTCTTTCTTACTTGTAGCCTACTTTCATTCATACTAGGCATGCTGCCCAGCTTCGCTTAGGCTTTCGAAAACATTGAGAATTTAAATGCTTAATTAATTCGCCCGAGGGTCGGTCTACGACCTCAGGAGTTATGAAGAGGTTCCTACGTGGACATTTTTTTTTCGATTAAATAGCTCATATAAGGCGCCGGTCAGTCGAGGTCAGTTTTGACCCAATCATCGTAGACTTTTCGGCCAACCGGCCCCCGTGTTCTGTCGCCCCAAGGCAAGATCCTGCCAAATTTGAAGCGCCTGCGGCGCCGGGAAGTGCACTATCGGGCACCCGACAACTTTGCTTTATATATTATGGAGATTAGCAAATTGCATAGATAAACAAAGATTTCAATAAAGTAATTAAGGCCTGAAATACTTTAGTATAGAAATGTATTATTTGAATAGATTCTAGATCTAGGTAGGGTCTACATCTGTGTAAGTCTAGTTTTTCCGTAGATCTAGATCATCTAGATCTAGATCTAGAATCTCTAGATCTATGATCTAGAATCTCTAGATCTAGATGATCTAGAATATCTAGATCTAGATGATCTAGAATATCTAGATCTAGAATCCTAATAGATTTTTTTTTTAAGTTTAGCCCGAGCAAAATAAAAAAAACCCACCAAGTTTGACTTGGTGTGTCTCAAACCCGTACCACCTGCGTGGTTTTAAGTACACTATCATCTCAGCTATTTAGGCATCTTACAAACCTCAGAGAATGAAAGACGTATTTTAAAATCTTAACTTACGCGAATATGCCTATTCTTTCAAATTAATTTTTTTTATCCCAAATTAGCCAGTTCCAAAAAAAGATTTTGTACAAAATAATTAAGTCTTGAAATAGTTTAGTCCTAATATAGAAATTTATTTTTGGAATAGTTCTAGAGTAATTAGATTCTAAATCTAGATATTTGCGTCTACGTCTAGTTATTGCGTAGATTTAGATCTAGTCTAGATCTAGAATCTCTAGATCTAGAATCCAATTAAATAAAATAAATTTTATGAGTTTAGGCCGGAAAAATTGTATTGTATACATTTCATAGTGTACGTAGATCTAAATCAAATTTGAATGAAATAGTTCATTTCTTTTTATTCTAAACACGGCAGATGACGTCATTAGTTAATGTATAAGCAATAGTGACGTCACAGTTATATGCGTTCTTTTTCACATCTATTAATGCTTTTCCTGTTGCATAATAAAAATTGTTTTTCTACATTCGAATACGCCTTTATTTTATATTTTTCTTCTTTAAATAAAATTTTGGTTATACATTTAGAACATCTAACATATTATTTTCAACAAAAGTCCGTATAAAGTTCTTCATATATCGCTACAGCTTCTGACGTAATGTCATATTTTGCGGACAGACAAACAGAGAGAGAGAGAGAGAGAGAGAGAGAAAGAGAAGTGCGCACGGGGGAGGGGGGTTATATATTAGGATTATATTTGTTTCTTTCTTGATTTTGTTTCCGGTTTGCTATGACATAAAGTACAGGACAGTACAAACATGATCGCTTCTCTGTTTTTTGGCCTTTCTTCTTTTGCTTGATACGCTCTTGGTTTGATAGTGGTTTATTCTTTGTTGGTAGTTGTACTTGGTGAGAGTGAGTTTGGTGTCTTGTCGTTGCTGGTGAAGTTGGTCGAATGGTGTAGAACTTGCGTTGAGGTGAGGCATGATGCGCATGGTGGTAGAGTTGTTCGATGAATTGAAGCTTGGGGAGATGAGTTGGGTGGGTTCTTGTGTTGAGAGATCTTTCGAGGTGAGTTGTTTTGAAGTATTGTTCATTGTGGATTGAGGAGGAGTAACGTTGTGACGTAGTCGAGTAATTGAGTTGGGCGAGGTGACCTTGAAGAGTGAAGTTTGCTGATGATGCTGAGTCGATGGTTTTGAGCTTGGTGGAGTGATGATGAGGGCGAGGTAGAGCTGTTGGCGATTGTTTATTTTGAGTAGATGATCTTGAGAGATGGTTAGTTGATTGCTAGTGTTTTGACGGAAGCTTCCCACCTAAGATTTCTCCTAGGTGGGTGTCGTCAGAGTGTTAGTGAGTTTGTTGGGAGCGAGGTAGATACGTTTGACGTAGTAGATGAGTTCGATTTCTTGAGCGAGGTAGTTGCGTTAGACGTAGTAGATGAGTTCGATTTGTTGGCGATAGACAGACCTCCCACCTAAGATTTCTCCTAGATGGGTGTCGTCAGGCTGAAAAATAAAAGATTGAAAAAGTTAGCCACTCGTACATTTGAAGCCACCCAATACAAGTACTGGGTGACTCATCTCGAGAGCGTGTGCGTTCGAGGGATGTGTGGGAGCAACCCCACAGCGGTCGTTTTCGAGATTTGCGTGAGTTAGAGTAGTAGGTTTGACCGCCTCTCGACCCCGGCAGCCAGCCCTAAAAAGGGCTGACCAACCAAATGGCTAAGATCCGTGTAGATCCATAACAGATACTACACTTTGATCTTAGCCAAAAGGCCGAGAAGCGATTAGGATTATACATAGATCTAATACAAACGTCTCAATCAGCCGATGCATTGTGAATAGTAAGAGACGGATCAGATTATGATTGTTGTTATAGACAAAAACGTATGGGTTTTCTAAATCAAAATACTAACAATAAAAATACAAATTTTTATAATTTAAGTTATTTACTGTCAAAAATTAAATTGAATTATTTTTTTTGTATTGTTAAAGTACGGTGGTAAATGTCATTACATCTGGACAGAACCACAGATATACGACTTTGTGAGTAAAGGAGAATGTCGAGTTATTTCCCTTGGAAGAATAACTACAAGCATTGCAATGCCATTTAAGTGTCAATAAATTAATCCTATTTCTTTGCGCAATGTTGACTCTCATTTCATGGTTTGACTCTCTCTTCCCAGCCTCTCTCCCCCCCCTCTCTCCCCCCTCTCTCCCCCCCCCCCTCCTGCAAGGGTTACACTAGACCAATATAAGGGTTAACGATAGTTGAAGGGATAAATATTACACCCGCTTGTTTAATACTATATCAGCGATCTAAGTCATGCGAAAAAAAATTGAGTTACAGTTTATCAGTAAGTGGTCTACTTATGTAAAAGGAACAGCTATTGTGCTAAGATTTTTATGTTTATTACCCAACAAGTTGAAATAGTAATTAATTTATTAGCCAACAAGTTGAAATAGTAATTAATTTGACTTAGTTCGACTAGATATGCACCGCTGGCCTAATTTTGATTCACTAAATAAGGCTAGTTTTGTTTTTTAGGGTGTGGGTTAAAGGTTAGCGGTTGAGTCCATGTTGGGAGGCGATGGAAGCACTAATATATTAATTTCCGACCGCCTTGCTGTGTATAATTAAAATATCGTTTGCTGATTAGTTCTAGATCTAATAGGCTTTAACATCCCTGTTGTAGTCTACATTTTGGATATAAACCGTTCGATATTTTCATCCTGTTCTCCCTTCAGACGTCTCAAAGTTGGACAGCCCTGATATAAAGGATGTAGCGTAACGGGAAACACGCTATGATGGCTGTCTTAGGGGGTCGTCCATAAATGACGTCACACTCGTAGGGGGGAGGGGGGAGGTCCGTAATTTTGTGACGATGTATGATGAGGGGGGGGGGTGTGAGATTGTGTGACGCCACACTTTTGCATTATAAAAAAATCAATTTTAGAAAACGAATTTTAGCCGTAATTTCGCGTTTTAGAAAACTGTTTTAATAAATAGTAATAGGAATTGATTAAAATACTCTATGTTGATAGTTCAGACAAGAATTTGGAAACATATCGTATGTTAAGAAAAATTCAACTGCAATTTTGAGGAGGGGGGGGGTATGGGTTAGGGTGTGACATTATTTTAGGGGGAGGTGAGGGATCTGGCTTTTTGTGACGATGTGTTACGGAGGGAAGGTAAAAATCGTCCAAAAAAGCGTGACGGTCTATAACATGTAGGCTAGGGGCTGGGGTATCATAATTCAATATATAGGAATTTATTTTTAATGCCTTTATACTTTGATACATTATTTTATTTTACTTTAACATACTATTAGATACCGAGATAGTTATTACAAAGTCACTGATGTGTTGAGAACGGTGTACTCGCGACTTTCGTGTGAAGAACGGGTGGAATAGGGGTGAGGTGGGGGTAATTAAATAGTTGTTTCATGTCTGTGTGGTGTAAGGGAGGCCTATAGACTCCGCCCCCTTCCCATAGTGAAACTAGGTCGTGAAGTTACATTTAAATCACGCACACACACACACACATACACACACCGAGGAAACCCGCCGCGTAAGTAGGTCAATGCCATTCCTTGTATGTAAACAAAACGTCAAATGTTTGTTGTTTTTCTATTTGTTTTACGCGAATTAGGTATTAAACGCTACAGAATCGTCACAATCTGTATTAATTATAGTGATATATATATATATATATATATATATATATATATATATATATATATATATATATAATGTAAAACAGTAATTGTAAGCTACCAGCGTCGACGGTGATACGGATCAGTAGCCACAGTTCACGAGGCGGCTGTGCACAACAGCCGAGTGTGCAATCGATGGCGGCGAAGTGTCGTTTCACTGAGTAGGCCAAGTGTGTTGTGTTTGTTTTGATCGCAAAATCGACTTCAAACCGGGCTTGTTTTGAGACCTCAGTGATTAGTGTGGTATCACCACGTATTATGTCGACTGCCGGGAAAAACAGGTGGGATTTATTTTTATCACAGAGAAACCTATAGTACGGCTTGTGTAAGGGTTTGACTATCTGCATCGTAGGTTTGGGTGGGAAATCGATTTTTGTCACATAAATGACACAGCACTTTGTAAGACAGATGCTATGGTGTATGTTTTAACTGATCTTGTTCTTGGGAGTCGTTAAGTTAGAATTACAGCGGTTACCTTAGTAGAGGACCTTAGTAGAGGACCTTAGTAGAGGACCTTAGTAGAGGACCTTAGTAGAGGACCTTAGTAGAGGACCTTAGTAGAGACTAGTGTCTAGATTATGTGGGAGTTGCTGGCCGTGATTAAACTGTAGCTTAGTGGATTCCTAGTCCACTGAAAGGGTATTATATAAACCTAGGGGACAAGGTCCTGGTACTATCCAAGCAGACAGGATACTGGTACCGTCCTAGTGGACACGGTCCTGGTGCTATCCTGGCACCGTCCTAGTGGACACGGTCCTGGTACCGCCCTAGTGGACAGGGTCCTGGTACCGTCCTAGTGGACAGGGTACTGGTACCGTCCTAGTGGACACGGTCCTGGTGCTATCCTGGCACCGTCCTAGTGGACACGGTCCTGGTACCGTCCTAGTGGACAGGGTCCTGGTACCGTCCTAGTGGACAGGGTACTGGTACCGTCCTAGTGGACACGGTCCTGGTGCTATCCTGGCACCGTCCTAGTGGACAGGGTCCTGGTACCGTCCTAGTGGACAGGGTCCTGGTACCGTCCTAGTGGACACGGTCCTGGTGCTATCCTGGCACCGTCCTAGTGGACAGGGTCCTGGTACCGTCCTAGTGGACAGGGTCCTGGTACCGTCCTAGTGGACAGGGTCCTGGTACCGTCCTAGTGGACACGGTCCTGGTGCTATCCTGGCACCGTCCTAGTGGACAGGGTCCTGGTACCGTCCTAGTGGACAGGGTCCTGGTACCGTCCTAGTGGACAGGGTCCTGGTACCGTCCTAGTGGACACGGTCCTGGTACCGTCCTAGTGGACAGGGTCCTGGTACCGTCCTAGTGGACACGGTCCTGGTACCGTCCTAGTGGACAGGGTCCTGGTACCGTCCTAGTGGACACGGTCCTGGTACCGTCCTAGTGGACACGGTCCTGGTGCTATCCTGGCACCGTCCTAGTGGACAGGGTCCTGGCACCGTCCTAGTGGACAGGGTCCTGGCACCGTCCTAGTGGACAGGGTCCTGGTACCGTCCTAGTGGACAGTGTCCTAGTACCGTCCTAGTGGACAGGGTCCTGGTACCGTCCTAGTGGACAGGGTCCTGGTATTAACCTAGTGGACAGGGTCCTGGTACTGTCCTAGAGGACATGGTCCTGGTACCGCCCTAGTGGACAGGGTCCTGGGTACTATGCTGGTACTGGACAGGGTCCTGGTACCGTCCTAGTGGACAGGGTCCTGGGTACTATGCTGGTACTGGACAGGGTCCTGGTACCGTCCTAATGGACAGGGTCCTGGTACCGTCCTAGTGGACAGGGTCCTGGTACCGTCCTAGTGGACAGGGTCCTGGTACCGTCCTAGTGGACAGGGTCCTGGTACAGCCCTAGTGGACAGGGTCCTGGTGCCGTCCTAGTGGACAGGGTCCTGGTACCGTCCTAGTGGACAGGGTCCTGGTACTATGCTGGTACTGTCCTACTGGACAGGGTCCTGGTACCGTCCTAGTGGACAGGGTCCTGGTACCCTCCTAATGGACAGGGTCCGTGTACCGCCCTAGTGGACAGGTGTAGTGGACAGGGTCCTGGTACCGTCCTAGTGGACAGGGTCCTGGTACCGTCCTAGTGAACAGGGTCCTGGTACTATACTGGTACCGTCCTACTGGACAGGGTCCTGTTACTGTCCTAGTGGACAGGGTCCTGGTACTAAGCTGGTACTGGACAGGGTCCTGGTGCCGTCCTAGTGGACAGGGTCCTGTTACTGTCCTAGTGGACAGGGTCCTGGTGCCGTCCTAATGGACAGGGTCCTGGTACAGCCCTAGTGGACAGGGTCCTGGTACTATGCTGGTACCGTCCTAGTGGACAGGGTCCTGGTACCGTCCTAGTGGACAGGGTCCTGGTACTGTCCTGGCGGACAGGGTCCTGGTACCGTCCTAGTGGACAGGGTCCTGGTACAGCCCTAGTGGACAGGGTCCTGGTACCGTCCTAGTGGACAGGGTCCTGGTACAGCCCTAGTGGACAGGGTCCTGGTACCGTCCTAGTGGACAGGGTCCTGGTACCGTCCTAGTGGACAGGGTCCTGGTACAGCCCTAGTGGACAGGGTCCTGGTACCGTCCTAGTGGACAGGGTCCTGGTACTGTCCTGGCGGACAGGGTCCTGGTACCGTCCTGGTGGACAGGGTCCTGTCCTGGTACCGCCCTATTGGTCGTGGTTCAAGTATATAGGCTATCTTTGTTGGTGGACAGGGTTGTTTTCACGTCTTTCCGTGTAAAAAACTTCCTTCACGGAAATAGATAACGGTTGTGGTAGTCCCTGAAAGGTACGTTCTAGCACCCAGTGCCATCAATAGGCTAGGTGGAGTTTAACGCTCAATGTTTTTAAGGGGATGGGGGTGGGGGTGTGTGTGGGGGGACGGGGGCGACGACGGAACGGACAATTTCATGGTGCCTTTCCACATCCTAGAAACAGGAATAGCCTGATTTTGACGACAATAAAGTAAGTAAGTAATAGTGAAGGGATATTGTGGTCAGCACTATGCCCAGCCGCCTTTACTTACCCTCTTGACTTGAACCAGGATTTGAACTCGAGACTGACGCTAGGTCACATCCGTCCCATGACGTCAATAAAAAAAAAAACCTCAAATCGATGAGCTTTGTTTTTGTATTCAGGTGCTAGATCTAGGACACAGTAGCCATGGAGGCAGCGGCAGAAGATTCTGGAATCTTGTCAGGCGTGACGTTGTACCTGATACTGGGAGCCTTCACTGCTGGCGTCTACGTCATCTATAACGCTCTGACGTCACAAGAAAGCTGGGAGAAATATGGCGTCAAGCAGGCCAAGATGGGATTGGTTAATTTAGCGTGAGTGTTGCGTCATAGCTGTTGTCACATCAATACATGATGTACAAGATACAACGTTGTAAAAGTTTAATGGGAAGTATTGGTGGAATTACGTTAGGTGCTGATGGATGGCTAGAAACATGTTTGTTTTAGGATGGGTAGAAACGTGTTTGTTACTGGATGGGTAGAAACATGTTTGTTTTAGGATGGGTAGAAACGTGTTTGTTACTGGATGGGTAGAAACATGTTTGTTACTGGATGAGTAGAAACATGTTTATTTTAGGATGGGTAGAAACGTGTTTGTTACTGGATGAGTAGAAACATGTTTGTTTTAGGATGGGTAGAAACATGTTTGTTACTGGATGAGTAGAAACATGTTTATTTTAGGATGGGTAGAAACGTGTTTGTTACTGGATGGGTAGAAACATGTTTGTTTTAGGATGGGTAGAAACATGTTTGTTACTGGATGGGTAGAAACATGTTTGTTTTAGGATGGGTAGAAACATGTTTGTTACTGGATGGGTAGAAACATGTTTGTTACTGGATGGCTAGAAACATGTTTGTTTTAGGATGGGTAGAAACATGTTTGTTACTGGATGGGTAGAAACATGTTTGTTACTGGATGGCTAGAAACATGTTTGTTTTAGGATGGGTAGAAACATGTTTGTTACTGGATGGGTAGAAACATGTTTGTTACTGGATGAGTAGAAACATGTTTGTTTTAGGATGGGTGGGTAGAAACATGTTTGTTACTGGATGAGTAGAAACATGTTTATTTTAGGATGGGTAGAAACGTGTTTGTTACTGGATGAGTAGAAACATGTTTGTTACTGGATGGGTAGAAACATGTTTGTTTTAGGATGGGTAGAAACATGTTTGTTACTGGATGGGTAGAAACATGTTTGTTACTGGATGGCTAGAAACATGTTTGTTTTAGGATGGGTAGAAACATGTTTGTTACTGGATGGGTAGAAACATGTTTGTTACTGGATGGCTAGAAACATGTTTGTTTTAGGATGGGTAGAAACATGTTTGTTACTGGATGGGTAGAAACATGTTTGTTACTGGATGGGTAGAAACATGTTTGTTACTGGATGGGTAGAAACATGTTTGTTATTAATTAACGGGTGAAACGTGGTTGTTACTGATTAATAGGTACACATATTTTAACTACTGATGAATAAAGTATTACCATTATTAAATGTGCATGCTAAACTAGATTCAACTAATACTTAGCAAATTTAAAAAAAAAAAAATTAGCTAGCGCTGTAATCTTGAATTATTGAAAATGTATTACACGTTTTTAAACCTAGTGTTGTGTTTTTTTTAATGTAAATTAATTTAAAATAATTAAAAAACTCGTCATAAAATAATACTTTAAAACATGTATTCTGCGGTTAGGGATGGGTTCGCCAAACTGTTTGAGGACCAAGGCGACACATTCGGCATCAGCCACGGTCACATGTTGCTGGTGACCAGAGATCTGGCACTACTCAGGGAAATCATGGTCAAAGACTTCAGCAACTTTGGCGACCGTCTGGGGCTAATTAACACGCGCTCCGTCATCGCCAAGGGACTTTTCTTTCTCACGGGTCACGATTGGAAGCGGATCAGGCAGATTGTGTCCCCTTCGTTCAGGTAAGGGAAGCAATCAGGTATGAAATTACTTTTTGTTTTTGTTTGTAGCAGACGCTATATGGCAGCGAGTTACAAACGATCTGACCTTGCGTTAACCTTGAAAATATAAATAAAACTCGATGCCTCCACTAATCCCTGTTATCGCTTAAAATAATAATTACTTAATTAAATGATTACTGTTAATTATACACCATAACTTACATCTAGTCTAAACGGGAAAGGAGCAAACCATCCATTGTCCTATACAAAAACTTACAAAGGAAATAACCGGTATCAGATATATTAGAGGATTAGAAAAAAAAAATTCAGATATATTAGAAACGTTATTTTAGATTGTACCTCACAGGAGAATATATATAGATGTAGTGACCTTCAAATGTAGATATTACGAAGCTGTAAACACAATGTACACACATTTAAGTGATATGTTGCATATACATCTGGATACCTTTTAATGGACATGCACACGATAGAGATTATCACGCGCAAAACCTTGATAACACATCAACAGATAGGCAGACGATGAACCCTAAAGATACCACACAGCCAAAACTATACCGACAATCTAGAATCTACCAAACTTTTAAACAAAATTCAAACTCAAATGCAAATTGAACCTCCTCCAATTCATCTTTAGCTTTAAAAATATTTATTTTGTTGTTGCTTTTTCTTGAAAATTAATTACAAAATCTAAGTAAGATATAGTGTTAATTAAATGAAGAAAAAGAATTTAAAAATAGTCTGCTTCCTGAGACGAGCGAATTAAAATAGATTTTTGACGTATGCTCTTGTTATTACTGTAATTCGCTATTTTTTATGGACATTGTTCTATGTATGTGGCTGTGTTGGTCTTCTTGTAGTTTATAAAATAGTTCAGTCTTATGCCCGAGCCCAACAAATTTAAAAAAAAATTCTTTTCAATAGCACCAGTAAGCTAAAACACATGTCCAAGACAGTGGAAGAACGAGCCATCAAGCTGACCCAGGTGCTAGAAGACTATGCCAGACAAGGGAAACTCCTCCCCGTCAAGGACATCGCTGGTCAGTACACGAGTGAGATCATCGCCAGGACAGCGTTTGGGTTCAACACCCACAGTCTGGGGGGTCCGGACGATGAGTTCACCTCCTATAGTAAAAACATGATCAAAGACAGAGGCAGCATCATGTCTAAGTTGATGCTTGTCTTCTTAAGATTTGATGCCTTCCACAAGTTTTGTGTCAAGGTGGGGAAAATTATCGTCACTTTTTCTGCCAACTTTCTCTTTCATCATCGTTCTACCTACTTCCTTATCGTTCAACCTACTTCCTCATCGTTCTACCTACTTCTTCATCGTTCTACCTACTTCCTCATCGTTCTACCTACTTCCTCATCGTTCTACCTACTTCCTCATCGTTCTACCTACTTCCTCATATTTCTACCTACTTCTTCATCGTTCTACCTACTTCCTCATCGTTCTACCTACTTCCTCATATTTCTACCTACTTCTTCATCGTTCTACCTACTTCCTCATATTTCTACCTACTTCCTCATTGTTCTAACTACTTCCTCATCGTTCTACCTACTTCTTCATCGTTCTACCTACTTCCTCATCGTTCTACCTACTTCCTCATCGTTCTACCTACTTCCTCATCGTTCTACCTACTTCTTCATCGTTCTACCTACTTCCTCATCGTTCTACCTACTTCCTCATATTTCTACCTACTTCTTCATCGTTCTACCTACTTCCTCATCGTTCTACCTACTTCTTCATCGTTCTACCTACTTCCTCATCGTTCTACCTACTTCTTCATCGTTCTACCTACTTCCTCATTGTTCTACCTACTTCCTCATCGTTCTACCTACTTCCTCATCGTTCTACCTACTTCCTCATCGCTCTACCTACTTCCTCATCGTTCTACCTACTTCCTCATCGTTCTACCTACTTCCTCATCGTTCTACCTACTTCCTCATCGTTCTACCTACTTCCTCATCGTTCTACCTACTTCCTCATCGTTCTACCTACTTCCTCATCGTTCTACCTACTTCCTCATCGTTCTACCTACTTCCTCATCGTTCTACCTACTTCCTAATCGCTTGCTTGTAACAAAATATCAAACTAACATTCAAATACCAACGACCGTGCAACGGACTAGCAGTTTGGCGTCGTATAATGGATATTCTTTGGTTTAATTCTAGCCTCTTGTAATGTTTGCAGACACTAAAGATCAAAGTTCTGGATGGGTTTCGAGAAGATGCTGAAGTGTATTTTAAAACAATTTTGAAAAGATCCCTGGAAGAAAGGAAAGAGATGGAGATGAAGGGAGAGAAGGTGCCACAAGATTTCCTGCAGAGTTTGATCCAGGCTAAAGCAGCTGGGGACAGGGGGGAACTGGTTGGTGAGTTGTATCTTCGTGTGTACTGTAGGTCATCGTGGCGGAGAGCGAGTCATAGTTGTATACCTTGTGTAATGGCTGCAGAAGTAGAATGCGGCATGGTAGCATGTATTGAGTAATGGCTAGCGGTGTAAGATAAGCTATACTTACATGTGCTGTGGTATAATGGTTAGCGGTGTGAGCTATACTTACATGTGCTGTATAATGGTTAGCGGTGTAGGACGAGCCATTGTTGCATGTGTTCAGTAGGTCTGTTGATCTTTGGGCTTGAGACATTAAGCTTAAGGTTTTTCGGCTTATTGTTTTCAGACGCTCGATCTTTGCGGTTATAATTTTTTAACATTTTAATCTTTGGGCTCATTTCATCCAAAAATTGGTCTGGGTGCAATACATTTCTTAACATTGGCCGAGGCACTTTTTACAGTTATTTAGAGCATATCCCTGCTTTCATTAATTTTCCCCTGTGCTTCGGGTATAATAAGCAACTCTAAATTCATTCTTTTATGGGGAAAAACAACACCAAACCAAACCACAATTGTTGCATCCTGTCCAGAAAACACTGACGACATTGACGATGAAATGTCGCGAAACAGCGTTGGCTTTGACAAACAACCAAAGACAATGTCCACCGAGGAGCTGATGGGTCAGTCCGTGTTGGTCATATTTGCTGGGTTTGAGACCACGTCAACAGCCCTACAGATGTGCTTGTATCTGTTAGCCAAACATAAGGATATCCAGGTACATTACCGGCTAGACTGTGAATGATGTAAAAAATATGTTGTGTTTGTCAAATAGTCGCGGTTCCGACTAGGAAATGTCATGGCTAAAGCCATGCATGTGAAGTGTAAATTTAATATCAGCTTTGACCGTAAAATAACAACTATGGATTTCTAAAATCAAGATTGGAAAACATTCCTGATTTTCGACAGTATATCTTATATCAAATTTAATTACATTAATTTTAATTTTTTTTTTCGTCCAGGATAAAATGTATGACGAGATTGAAAGAGTAGTACAGGGGGAAACGCCCACCTATGAAGAGCTGCATCAGTTGACCTACATAGAGCAGGTGATCAACGAGACCTTGAGGCTGTATCCCCCCGCCCCCATCATGTCCAGAAGAGCTGCTCACACCAAAACTTACGGACACGTCACCATCCCTAAGGGGGCGGGGGTCATCATTCCAATATTCGCTGTTCTCACCGACCCCAAGCATTACCCCGACCCCGAAAAATTCGACCCCGAGAGATTTAGTGAAGAAAACAAAGCCAAACGTGACCCCATGGCCTTCATGCCTTTCGGATATGGCCCCAGGATTTGTATTGGGATGAGACTTGCCTTACTGGAAATGAAAATTGCCCTGGCCACACTTCTCAGAAAGGTTAGAGTCGAGCTAAGCGAGGAGACGGAACCTAAGAAGGGTGAAGATGTTGTGGTGAGGGCAGAGGCTATTATGAAAACAGAAAAACCCGTTAAACTGGCCGTCAAGTTGAGGTCAGAATGACCTTAATATGAACTGAACTTTGATATTTCATACATTTTTCTAACATAAAAAAAAAAATGATTAACCAAATATTGAGATTGAGGCACGATTAGTTCCAAATAGGCATTTTTATCCGGAGTGTATATGTTTGAGGGGGGGGGGGGGGGGGCAGGGGGGTAGTAATCGACACTGGTCAAAGTAGCCTATATAATTTAAAAGTAAATTAAAAATAATTTATGAATGTGTCATATTTCGTTCGAGGAAGGGTTGGGGGCGGTGACTATACCTAAGACTGAACTTTCTTAAACCTATATCAAAGCTCCGAATGAAAGGTAGGATAATGTAGCTAGTTATTATTTTCCTTTGAAATAACTATTACAGACGTGATAAGCCTATTCTTCGCGGCGAGTTAAACCGAAATACCGGTACTTAAACGTTACAATCGGTTGGGTTATAATAATTGTGAATGAATGCACCATTGGTCTGCTATAGACGTATCTTCGTAGAACTGCAAACACTGTTTTAACGTGGAATAAATGCCTACATAAATGTGTCCTGTCACCCTGTTTTGTATCTGTCGTTCATGTATTTGGTCACAAATTTATATTTAAGTGATGAAAACGGTGTTTCTTTCAGACATTATACTCAAGGGGGGGGGGCGGATTTAAATCTTCGGGGAAAGGGGCACTAAATTTAAATTTTGTACTAGGGTGTGGGAAGGGGGCGGTAGAAGTGTTTCATAGGAAAGGGGGGGGGGGGGTGGCAAATCCTCATCAAAGAGATGACAGAAAATAAAAGGTTGCAGACATGAAAAATGAATCTACGAAAAATTATGTTCAAAGAAAAATCTATTGTAAAATCGAATGGGTGTTGCTTTAAAAAAAAATCAGGTTCACTAAGCAGCTACTCGAGATATGTGAGCACAAATTATTAGACTCGCGTCAAACGTCCAAAACGTTGTCCTTATTTCAGAGGCGTAGCGAAGGGGGGGGGGGGGGAAGCGGGGGTACATATGTCCCCGGGCGCCGACCCTAGGGGCGCCAAACTGGGATGGAAAAAAAATTAAAAGCTCATTTTAGCTGCAGTTTTGAAAATATATGAAAGCTTGTACCCCGGGCGTCGGGAGGTTTCGCTACTCCTCTGCCTTATTTTTTTTAACTTGAAGTCTTATAAGCCATTGGACCAACACAGCTAAATTATAAATAATGAGTTATGTGCATTATTTTGTGTCTAGCTATTGAGATTTTTTTTTAAATAATTAAATGTGTTCTTTTTTATAAGATGTGTGTATAGTAGTTTAGTTGTTGTAATATTTTTCGTTAATTTCAAGAGTTTTAATGAAATATTATACTTTCTACTTTCTTGTAGTAAAAACAAATACTAAAAACTTTTTTTTTGTCGTTTGCTGTATCGCGTGAGCTATCAAAAGCGTATAAAATAGCTGTGTGCTGAAATGTAGGTTGGTTCTGTTAAAAGAGTAGCTTCAAAGTTGATGTGGTTTTATAGTTAGTCCAAATAAGAAGGCAGTTGACGTGGAGGCAGTTGGTGTGTAAGTAGTTGGAGTGGAGGTAGGTGGTGTGGAGGTAGTTGTTGGTGTGGAGGTAGGTGGTGTGGAGGTAGTTGTTGGTGTGGAGGTAGGTGGTGTGGAGGTAGTTGTTGGTGTGGAGGTAGGTGGTGTGGAGGTAGTTGTTGGTGTGGAGGTAGGTGGTGTGGAGGTAGTTGTTGGTGTGGAGGTAGGTGGTGTGGAGGTAGTTGTTGGTGTGGAGGTAGGTGGTGTGGAGGTAGTTGTTGGTGTGGAGGTAGGTGGTGTGGAGGTAGTTGTTGGTGTGGAGGTAGGTGGTGTGGAGGTAGTTGGTGTGGAGGTAGGTGGTGTGGAGGTAGTTGTTGGTGTGGAGGTAGGTGGTGTGGAGGTAGTTGTTGGTGTGGAGGTAGGTGGTGTGGAGGTAGGTGGTGTGGAGGTAGTTGTTGGTGTGGAGGTAGGTGGTGTGGAGGTAGGTGGTGTGGAGGTAGGTGGTGTGGAGGTAGGTGGTGTGGAGGTAGTTGTTGGTGTGGAGGTAGGTGGTGTGGAGGTAGGTGGTGTGGAGGTAGTTGTTGGTGTGGAGGTAGGTGGTGTGGAGGTAGTTGTTGGTGTGGAGGTAGTTGTTGGTGTGGAGGTAGGTGGTGTGGAGGTAGTTGTTGGTGTGGAGGTAGGTGGTGTGGAGGTAGGTGGTGTGGAGGTAGTTGTTGGTGTGGAGGTAGGTGGTGTGGAGGTAGTTGTTGGTGTGGAGGTAGTTGTTGGTGTGGAGGTAGTTGTTGGTGTGGAGGTAGTTGTTGGTGTGGAGGTAGGTGGTGTGGAGGTAGTTGTTGGTGTGGAGGTAGGTGGTGTGGAGGTAGTTGTTGGTGTGGAGGTAGGTGGTGTGGAGGTAGTTGTTGGTGTGGAGGTAGGTGGTGTGGAGGTAGGTGGTGTGGAGGTAGTTGTTGGTGTGGAGGTAGGTGGTGTGGAGGTAGTTGTTGGTGTGGAGGTAGTTGTTGGTGTGGAGGTAGTTGTTGGTGTGGAGGTAGGTGGTGTGGAGGTAGTTGTTGGTGTGGAGGTAGGTGGTGTGGAGGTAGGTGGTGTGGAGGTAGTTGTTGGTGTGGAGGTAGTTGTTGGTGTGGAGGTAGGTGGTGTGGAGGTAGTTGTTGGTGTGGAGGTAGGTTGTGTGGAGGTAGGTGGTGTGGAGGTAGGTGGTGTGGAGGTAGTTGTTGGTGTGGAGGTAGGTGGTGTGGAGGTAGGTGGTGTGGAGGTAGGTGGTGTGGAGGTAGGTGGTGTGGAGGTAGTTGTTGGTGTGGAGGTAGGTGGTGTGGAGGTAGTTGTTGGTGTGGAGGTAGGTGGTGTGGAGGTAGTTGTTGGTGTGGAGGTAGGTGGTGTGGAGGTAGTTGTTGGTGTGGAGGTAGTTGTTGGTGTGGAGGTAGTTGTTGGTGTGGAGGTAGTTGTTGCTGTGGAGGTAGTTGTTGGTGTGGAGGTAGTTGTTGCTGTGGAGGTAGTTGTTGGTGTGGAGGTAGTTGTTGGTGTGGAGGTAGTTGTCGGTGTGGAGGTATTTGTTGGTGTGGAGGTAGTTGTTGCTGTGGAGGTAGTTGTTGCTGTGGGGGTAGTTGTTGCTGTGGAGGTAGTTGTTGGTGTGGAGGTAGTTGTTGGTGTGGAGGTAGTTGTTGGTGTGGAGGTAGTTGTTGGTGTGGAGGTAGTTGTTGGTGTGGAGGTAGGTGGTGTGGAGGTAGTTGTTGGTGTGGAGGTAGTTGTTGGTGTGGAGGTAGTTGTTGGTGTGGAGGTAGTTGTTGCTGTGGAGGTAGTTGTTGGTGTGGAGGTAGTTGTTGCTGTGGAGGTAGTTGTTGGTGTGGAGGTAGTTGTTGGTGTGGAGGTAGTTGTCGGTGTGGAGGTATTTGTTGGTGTGGAGGTAGTTGTTGCTGTGGAGGTAGTTGTTGCTGTGGGGGTAGTTGTTGCTGTGGAGGTAGTTGTTGGTGTGGAGGTAGTTGTTGGTGTGGAGGTAGTTGTCGGTGTGGAGGTATTTGTTGGTGTGGAGGTAGTTGTTGCTGTGGAGGTAGTTGTTGCTGTGGGGGTAGTTGTTGCTGTGGGGGTAGTTGTTGGTGTGGGGGTAGTTGTTGCTGTGGAGGTAGTTGTTGCTGTGGGGGTAGTTGTTGCTGTGGAGGTAGTTGTTGGTGTGGAGGTCGGTGGTGTGGAAGTATGGTTAGTTAAATTATATATTGATTTTATTTCTACAGGAGGGAAGGCGCGAGCGTTGGCGTGCTCCTGAGGGTGGGGGTGGGGGCAGAGGCGTAGCGAGGGGGGGGGGGCGGGGGTGCGGGTGTCACCATTTAGGCAAAAAGTAGTAAAATATATAGAGAAAAACTTGAGGGGGGGGTGCAAATCGAGAATTTGAAAGTTTGTCCCCGGGAAGGGTCGCTACGCCTTTGGGGAGGGGGGGGGGGTGACACCATTAAATGCCACATCCGGGTGACACCCGACCTCGCTACGCCACTGGGTGAGGGTTACAGTGCTCCTAAAAGAGATGGCTTAAAATTTCTGCTTACATACACCGTGTTAATTTCTTGCCTTTGGTGGGTTCCACACAATGACGAACGACATAAGGCCTTACAGACAAGTTGCTGAACACATCGCTATGGAGGTCCCTCGCGGCAAACAAAATAGCTACATCTGGCCTAGACTCGAACCCACCCCGATTACATGTTCCACTGCACCACAGGCCTCCAGTCCTTATCAAAAGTTCGACTTTTTATCCCTTAGATAAAACAGCTATCAAAAGGTCCTCAGTCCGGGTATGCAAACATACCAAACCTATCACCAGACTGATAAACGTATCTAGCAGGTTCTACTGTAGGCCTGCCAAGTTCAGCTCAAACAATGGTGAGATCATCCAAAGATTATCCTATCTCATAGGATTGTTACACATATTGACAGCCGTGCTGTGTCATCGCTTCACATATAAACATATGTTTTTCTGATGACTAACTGACATCTGCATTTGACATGTTAGCTGCAAGCTGACATGTTCATCTGATCGTCCACAGGTGTTGGGAATTTTTCATTCATTTCATCAGGTAGGCATGGGCTTACTTATCTCAACATAAGTCCTAGATCTACTTTGTTATAAAAAAAATCTTGTCAATAAGAAAACAGTTACCTGGTAATAACTATATCAAGCTATGTTAATTCCACCTGTCGACTGAGGTCAAACACGACACGACCTCCAGTTTCCAATTCCGCTAGACTGCTAAAGTCTCGAGTTCGAATCCGGGTACAAACCAGTACAATGTCCCTGAACCTATCGAGCTCTGTTAGGTACCTGACTCACGTTAGGGAAAGTAAAGGCGGCTGGGTATACTTCTGACCTCATTATCCCTTCATATACGTAGGTCACAGAAACAGGTGAACTCTACTTCATTAAACTTTACTTTTCCCTCTCCCATTCATCCGGGGGCGGTTCTGCACATTACATTCAGTTAATGTTTTGTTTTTTTTAGCAAGTGGGATGGGGATTTTATACATAAAAAACAACTAGATCTTGTAATGATTTATTTTTATTTTTATTTGTTTAAGGTTATAAAAGAGGGTTGTAAAAATTTATGATTTCGTTTTCGAAAGGGGAATGGTTTGCTTTCTGTGGCCAATGTAGAAACACGACCTTCTTTTAAAGTATTCTGTAAATATCAAGAACATTTTAGTAACCCTACATTATCGTAGGAACAGCGAGTGACCAGTTGAAATGGAAGACGTGACCACTGGGGGTGGACCTTTGTCCGGTGTGACGTTTTATCTTCTGCTGGCAACCGTCACTGCGGCTGTTTACGTCATCTACAACAAACTGACGTCACAGGTCAGTTGGGAAAAATATGGCGTCAAGCAGGTGAAGATGGGAATCTTCAATATAAGGTAGGTGTCATAGTCAATGTAAGGTAGGTGTCATAGTCAATGTAAGGTAGGTGTCATAGTCAATGTAAGGTAGGTGTCATAGTCAATGTAAGGTAGGTGTCATAGTCAATGTAAGGTAGGTGTCATAGTCAATGTAAGGTAGGTGTCATAGTCAATGTAAGGTAGGTGTCATAGTCAATGTAAGGTAGGTGTCATAGTCAATGTAAGGTAGGTGTCATAGTCAATGTATGGTAGGTGTCATAGTCAATGTAAGGTAGGTGTCATAGTCAATGTAAGGTAGGTGTCATAGTCAATGTAAGGTAGGTGTCCTGGTCAATGTAAGGTAGGTGTCATAGTCAATGTAAGGTAGGTGTCATAGTCAATGTAAGGTAGGTGTCATAGTCAATGTAAGGTAGGTGTCATAGTCAATATAAGGTAGGTATCATAGTCCATGTAAGGTATGTGTCATAGTCAATGTAAGGTAGGTATCATAGTCAATGTAAGGTAGGTGTCATAGTCAATGTAAGGTAGGTGTCCTGGTCAATGTAAGGTAGGTGTCATAGTCAATGTAAGGTAGGTGTTATAGTCAATGTAAGGTAGGTGTCATAGTCAATGTAAGGTAGGTGTCATAGTCAATGTAAGGTAGGTATCATAGTCAATGTAAGGTAGGTGTCATAGTCAATGTAAGGTAGGTATCATAGTCAATGTAAGGTAGGTGTCATAGTCAATGTAAGGTAGGTGTCATAGTCAATGTAAGGTAGGTGTCATAGTCAATGTAAGGTAGGTATCATAGTCAATGTAAGGTAGGTGTCCTGGTCAATGTAAGGTAGGTGTCATAGTCAATGTAAGGTAGATGTCATAGTCAATGTAAGGTAGGTGCCCTGGTCAATGTACAGAAGCGGTTGGCTTATTGAGGGTGTCTATAAATGACTTCTATTCTTATCCAAAATATAGACACACAAACACACAATCTCTATCTCTCACACACACACACATACACACACACACACACACACATATATATATATATATATATATATATATATATATATATATATATATATATATATATATATATATATGTATGTATATATATATATATATATATATATATATATATATATATATATATATATATATATATATATATATATATATACATTTATGTATTTATGTATTTACTTATTTACACACTTTTATATTGCATATTATTTTGTGGGCTAAGCCAACAACATCGTATACAGCCAGTAGCGCCACATGGGTGGGGGCAACCCCACCGGGTTACACCATATAGTGAGAGACACCAAATAGTCAAGTTTACTGTTAAAACAATGTTTATCTATTCAAAATATCAAAATCGTAGGGGCATGGTGTGTCACCAAATCAAAGTTGCTAACATCCATGGATGGGGGTGGTATCACCCATTGTTACAGAGGCAGGTGACTCCCATCCCAGTGTCACCAAGGCATACACATTAGAGCTATCTATAATATCAATATCACTTACATCATGACCCAAGATGTTACGAAATAAAAAAAAATAGCCTGTTGGCAAGCGATTACCAACCGCAATTTTGTTAGTTGTGTTCAATTTCCTAATAACTTTTGCATTTAAAACAATTATTCAAAAAAAAAAAAAGCCCCGTTTATAATAAGCTTTCAATCTGTATTTAAAGTGCTTTTTTAAGACTATTTTATTTTTAAATTGTAATCTAGAGAAGGGATCACAAAGCTGCTGGAGGATCACGGGGACACTGTTGGCATCAACCGAGGTGCCTTGTTTCTGGTGACGCGAGATCTCGGCGTCCTACGGGAAGTGATGATCAAAGACTTCACCAACTTCGTAGACCGAGCCCTCGCTATCAGCACGGCCTCCGTCGTCGAGAGGGGAATATTCTTCCTTAAGGGAAACGACTGGAGGAGGATACGACAGATTATGTCCCCTTCATTCAGGTAGAAACAATCGAAAGTTATAGTTTATAGTCCAAGTAGCGAATAAACAAAGATGTTTCCTATTTAAACAACCTCTAAGTTTACCATTGGTCTAATTTTCTTACTGCTCCAGCGAATGAAGAGAATTTATTCCTTAAAAATAATTCGTGATTTAAAAAAAACTTTGACTGGTGTTGTTAACTTAGAAAGAACCTAATCGTAATAAACTAAAATATTTATTAGTGCGGGTGCTCTGTAAATAAACATTGAGAAGGTGAGGTCGCATGGTAGAGCGCTCGACTGCGTACTCAAAAGTCTTGAGTTCGGGCCCATGGCCAGTGACTGTGGAACGTCCCTGAGTTCACACCTGATGGGTACCTAACACGTTATGTAAAGAAAGGCCACAACATTCCGAGGTCAAAGAACATTTGAACTCTACTTCATCTACTCTATGGATCCTTGTGTCTGCTACGGGGAATTAATTATTTTCATTAATGTCAATTAACCCATTTCTTTTAATGATTTTCAAATTTACCTTTTTCTTTTTGACTCTCTAGTTGATATGTTTACGTTGTGTGGAGCTTATTTCGACTTTTTATTTTGCAGCACCGGTAAGCTGAAATACATGGCCAAGACAATCGAAGAACGAGCCATCAAGCTGACCCAGGTGCTAGAAGACTATGCCAGACAAGGGAAACTGGTCCCCGTCCGTGACGTCACTGGTCAGTACACGAGTGAGATCATCGCCAGGACAGCGTTCGGCCTCAATACCAGCAGTCTTGGAGGTCCGGACGATGAGTTCACCTTCTACAGTAAAAAGATGTTAAGAGAGCGCGGAAAGATCATGGGCATTGTTATGTTCTTTTTCTTCAGGTTTAGGACTTTCCACAAGTTTTGTGTTAAGGTAAGTGCTTAAGTATTAGGCCCACTACATTTTTTTTTCTGTTAAGCCGTTTTGGCAATTTTTTGGCTCTGGTCCAGCAAATATATTAATGGCTTGCTTAATACTACTGTAACTTTTTCTTCATTTCAGTGTCCTGCACAAAGTACATACTCTGAATCAATATTATTTACGAGCTGACCCGAGATCTAGCATACGCCGCTATCTAGTTGTTTTATTTTTCTACTTATTAACAATTCATAATTTGTGAATTCGACACTATCCCACCTCCTGCCTCCCCCACCCCACCCCGCCCAGCGAAAGCAGCCGTTTACAGACGACAATGAAAATATCAAGCAGAACTATTATCTCCCTTTAGTTTCCCTTTAATTTCAAATCGTTTAAAAACCGGCTCTACTATTGTAAACATTCGGGGTGAACCATAACTCACCTGACAGGTGGGGATGGGGGTGGTGGCTAAGCTGCGTGGTGTCTCGTATGGTCCCCATGAAGAGAATTATATATAAAAATGCGCATCGTCAACCGTTTTATTTTATTAAAAAAAAAACACAACGAATCACGCATTTCCTCTGCCTGTCTGTCTAGATCGAAAGGCCGGAGCGAAAATTCGGACACTTCTAACTGACAGATACGGTTCGTAATTGGTACGTGGGTCAAGACACGAGGACAATGCATTATGACATTAAATTTGACTCAATTGGATGCCTAATTATTTTTTTATGAATTAATTAAAATTTGGACCGAATGAGTAGGCAGTTCTATCCACACGCGTCATCACGGCCGTGTTGGGCGTTGAGCGACGGGGGCTCTATGTCAAAAGCGCGTCATCACGTTCAATAGTCGCGCGATGGTTTTTAGTCGGGACAGCAGTCTAGTTAATTACCACTAGACTACGCCATCCCATAATATTTTACTGAAACTTTAGCTATAAACTTGACAATGGTTTTTAGTTATGTAACTATTGTAAATAAAACATGCAAAGTACTGAAAAAAAATTCATTAAAAAAAACGTTTTAATAACAAGCTTTTATGTAATAATGCACTAAAAAGTAGAAAATAAATTATGCACTATTATTTAAATAACTATAAAAATAAACCGGGAGTGATCTCCCCTAAACTTTCTCGAATATTCTTATATAAAATAACAGGGGATGGGAACTCGGGCTATAGACCAGAGGCGTAGCGACCTAATCCGGCGCCCGGGGCGGACTATCAATTTTGCGCCCCCCCCCCCCCCCATTTATATATATCGTTTTTCCTGTCTGTGAAAAAGACCCCCTCCCCCCTAAGTTGGAAAGGTTTGTAGCGCTTCTTACCAGTTACTATCCTGTAACAATTTCTATTTCGGTGTCACAAAGTTGTTAAATCAGTGTGTGGAGCCTTGTAGTCGTTTATTTTTCGTAACTTTGACAGTGTATATAATTCGATACTTCAGCTTAAACTGAGCTTTCAAATTAATATCTCTACCCCTTTTGGCGCCCCCTTAAGGTCGGCGCCCGGGGCGGCCGCCCCACCCGCCCTCCCCTAGCTACGCCTCTGCTATAGACATGATTTTTAATCCATTTTAAATACTTAAAGTTTTAAAAATAGAATAAAATCTCGTAGACAAATTAATTGCACACCAAGTGAACGCCCAATAAAAAAGCGCATAATAGTGCGCAATATTATTAGTACTTTTAAAATTTACATTAGTTTTTTGAGAAATCGGAAGTAGCGTAAATTACTACTTCCAGTCAACGGAAATTACTCAAAATTTAACAGAAGGTAGAGGATTAGATCTTTTACTTACATGTGAAATTTCATTTATCTATCTGAAATAGTACTCAAGTTATAGGCTTTTAAAAAATTCAAAGTAGGAAAAGTACCACTTCCGGTTATCGGAAATCGCTCAAAAGTTGATACGGATCTACGATTTTGATAAAATACTTATATATGAAATTTCATCAACCTAGCTGTAACGGTACTCAAGTTATCGTGTTTACACACGGACAGACACACACACAGACAGACACACACACACACAGACATACGGACAAGATTGCAAAATTATGTTTTTCCGTATCAGTGAGGTGTAAAACGTCGAGATCTGTAAAAATCTCGATTTTTTTTTTTTGCACGATTACAATACTTTCTCTATACTACGTATATACGAGAAATTTAGAAAGAGACCCACGCTTTTTAGTGTTTTTTTTAAAGCTGAATATACATTTTAAGTTATTAAATATAAGATGTAGATAAATTTCAATCTTCGCTGATCGCAAGAATATAACCTCAACCTTCAAATTAAAACATCACCTGAAAAGGTAAAAGCAAATGTGCTTGTGTAGAGAACTGGCCACTTTAACTCTTTATATGCCAAGGTCACTGAAAACGACCCTGTGAATCATTATTTCTCATTAGTTAACTACTTATAAAATATTTTCTATGGGGTATTACAACTGTTTAGGCATGTGTCCTATTCTGCAGACCCTAAAGCTCACGTTTTTAGACGGATTTTGGGAAGAATCTGAGGTATACTTTAATACCATATTGAAAAGATCAATCGCCGACAGGACGATGAAAGAGAAAAATGGAGAGAAGGTGCCACAGGATTTTCTGCAGAGTCTGTTGCAGGCTAAAGCAGCAGGGGACAGGGGCCAGGTTCTAGGTGAGTGGATGGTGGGTGGATGGTGGGTGGAGGGTGGGTGGATGGTGGGTGGATGGTGGTTGGGTAGTGGGTGGATGGTGGGTGGAGGGTGGGTGGATGGTGGTTGGGTAGTAGGTGGATGGTGGGATGATGGTGGGTGGATGGTGGGTGGATGGTGGGTGGATGGTGGGTGGATGGTGGGATGATGGTGGGTGGATGGTGGGTGGATAGTGAGTGGGTGGTGGGTGGATGGTGGGTGGATTGTTGGTGGATAGTGGGTGGATGGTGGGTGGATGGTGGGTGGATGGTGGGTGGATGGTGGGTGGATGGTGGGTGGATGGTGAGTGGTAGGTGGGTGGATGGTGGGTGGATGGTGGATGGATGGTGGGTGGATGTTGGGTGGAGGGTGGGTGGGTGGTGGGTGGATGGTGGGTTGATGGTGGGTTTGTGGTGGGTGGATGGTGGGTGGGTGGTGGGTGGATGGTGGGTGGATGTTGGGTGGAGGGTGGGTGGGTGGTGGGTGGATGGTGGGGGGATGGTGGGTGAATGGTGGATGGACAGTAACATTGAAGGAATATTATTTACTTAAATGTATACACATCAGAATCTTGTTTTAAGGGGGGCATAGTGAACTTAAGTATCGGATGTAAACTGGGAAAGGTAAAGGCCTGTTAGCATGGTATTAACCAGATAAAAAGCGGATTAATTGTTCTTGAGCTTTCAAATAGCCTTCAGTTGTATAAAATTACAGTTCTCAAACACCTCAGGTTCTATAAAAGCAAATTTAATTTATTAATTACCGCTCGCAGAAAACACTGACGACATTGACGATGAAATGTCGAGAAACAGCGTTGGCTGGGACAAACAACCAAAGACAATGTCCACTGAGGAGCTGATGGGTCAGTCCGTGTTGGTCATATTTGCTGGGTTTGAGACCACGTCAACGGCCCTACAGATGTGCCTGTTTTTGTTGGCCAAACATCCAGCCATTCAGGTAAACTGACACCCTATATCCAGGTAAACTGGCACCCTATATCCAAGTTAAACAAAACTTTTCGGACTAGAATTTATAACATCTGGTTTTACAATTACATAGAAATTTATATTTTTGCGAATTACTAACAATAACTTTACATTTGTTTTAATCGTGATTCACTAAAGAAAATATTCCCATTTCGTTTCTTAACAACACAGTGTCGAATACACAGATTAAGTTACCCTAACTGGACAATAACTATAATTGATGAGCAATAACTATAATTGATGGACAATAACTATAGAAAAACAAAAACGCTTCATAATGTATACCTATTTAAGAGTTATATCGTATTTTAAAAAAAAAAGTTATTTTGTCTGAATTATTTAATTCTGTGAGGCTTATGAGGAGCAAAATGCTGCAGCTTTACCTCTCCAGCGGACACTGTTTTGAGGAACTTGCTTTAGTTTAGCTTGTGTGACCCCCGCAGCTATTGCTGAAAAGAAGTTTGGGTCTGTCCAACCTATTTGTTGTTTCTGTTTGCAGGAGAAAATGTGTGAAGAGATCGAGAGAGTGGTTCAGGGAGAGACCCCAAAGTACGAGGAGCTGCAGCAGTTGACCTACGTGGAGCAGGTGATCAACGAGTCACTGAGACTCTACCCCCCGGCCTCAATAGTCACCAGACAAGCAGCGGAGACCAAGACCTACGGGAACATCACCATCCCTAAAGGAGCGGGGGTCATGATCCCTATATTCGCTGTGTTGAAAGACCCCAAGCATTACCCCGATCCCGAAAAATTCGACCCCGACAGGTTTAGTGAAGAAAACAAAGCCAAGCGTGACCCTATGGCCTTCATGCCTTTCGGATATGGCCCCAGGATTTGTATTGGGATGAGACTTGCTTACCTGGAGTTAAAGATGGCGCTGGCTACATTGTTCAGGAAAGTCAGGGTAGAGGTGAATGAGAACACAGAGCCCAAGAAAGGAGGGGATATTGTGATTAGTCCCATGGGAATTTTAAGAACAGAAAAACCTGTTATGTTGGCCTTCAAACTAAAGCCAGAATGATTCTTAATTAAATATAATAAATATAAAACACAACAATAAATATAATATTTATAAACAGCCATTTCTGTGAATGTATGAAGGCATTGGTTTATATTTAAAAAAAAACAACCATTGTACATAGCAATAAGAAGCAAACACAAACAAAAATATTGTGAACAGAGGGAATAAACTCAGGTTTAGATTATAAAGGGCTGCTTAAGTTTGTCACAAAACTCAAATACTCTAAAGTGTAATGCAACTAAAAACAAACCCTGCACCTATTTAGCCAGAGATCCTATATGTTTCAAATAATTATATATCACATAAATTCAGACTGTATATCCGTGCAATAAAATTTAAAACACATTCATCGTGTATATTGAAGACTAATATATTATATGTAATACAGCTCAATAAAAGATTTATTTGTATCTTTAACATGTATTTATATTATTATTTGCTAACATATTATCTGGTTACATTTTAGATTATTTTGTGCTGGCTTACACATATCTCGACATCGATATACAAAAAAAACATAACGTAGAGTATGAAAATATCTAAGTCTTTAGTGTTCCCAAAAAGCTGAATAAATTATTTTGAGTTACACTCTCCCATTCCCCCATACGGGGGTATGAGTTTGTTGAGGCCATATAAATTAATAATGCTGGGCGTAAAACAAAGGTCGGAATGTCCTTACAGGGTGACACCATTTAGGTGGTGACACAATTTAGGCCGTGACACCATTTAGGTGTGACACAATTTAGGTGGTGACACCAAATGGGAAAAATCGTAAAATTATTGTGAAAACAACGTTTTATTAAGTTAGTTTTTTTTTTTAATTCTGGGATAGGGGTGGCAAAATTAAAACCGAAAAATGTTGAGGGGGGGGGGGGTTGACGGCCTGAGCTACAGCAACACTCCACCACCTAGTGACGCCACTGCATCTACAACTGTTGTATTCTAATGTTTGTTCCGATGCGACACAATGCAGACAATAGATACATAAAAATACAACACTACATATATATATATATATATATATAAATATATATATATATATATATATATATATATACATATATATATATATATTTGTATTAATATATTTATATATATATATATATGTGTGTGTCTGTGTGTGTGTGTGTGTGTGTGTGTGTGTGTGTGTGTGTGTGTGTGTGTGTGTGTGTGTGTGTGTGTGTGCAATCGAAAAACTATTTTGAATTCCTCACTCTAGGAAATTCTCACTGCGTCATTGATACACATCACATTTAACAAGAAAAGCGGAACTAAACACAACACATCCGACTCGACAGCAACAAGAGATGTGCAGGAGATGACACACACACACACACACACACACACACACACACACACACACACACACACACACACTCATACACACACCACAAAGTACCTACAATTTACACCACAAAACAAACAGGCCTATTACAACAAATACCAATACAGTCAGCTAAACCAATTATAAGGAGGCCTCGGTTTTATCTGCTGCGGAATTACAATCATTCGCAGTTCCATATTTTGTTACACTTTATAACCCCCCCCCCCCCCCCCCCCCCAAAGGCTGGCCAACTTAGTTTTACCGTAAACCACTTAAAACTGTTTTTAAAAAAATCTAAAGTCGTGTAACTTAAATGTATTTAAAATAAATAAATCCATGTAACCAGTTACTTTGATTACTTATCATTTTTGTTTTTGCTAATGTTGCTCATGAAGTGGTTAAGACCTAAAATTTTACCAACACTATTCTAAAACTGACGATCAAAAATGGTGCACAGCCATTATGCATGTCATCTGACGTAAGTAGGTCAGAGGATATGGAACAGCTCATGTGTACAAGGATCGTCTGTTAACGGGAGCTACGGTCGAGAATTCATTCACGAATTACTAAGGTTTTTTCACACTTGAGTGCAGGTGTAATTTTCGTGGTTAGGTGATTAAATGCGTGTATAAAGGTAAGGCTTATAACATGGTTTCGTTTATTTACAAATATAGTAGTATAACTATATGTGTTTTTGGAATAGCTAAATTAGTTTCTGTACCCACACACTTACTTTAGTTAATAGTTACTGTACCCACACACTATATTAAAGATCTAGTTACTGTGCACACACTATCTTTTGTTACTGTTCCCTCACACCATCTTTAGTTACTGTACCCACAGAATATCTTTAGGTAGTGTACCCGCACAATATCTATAATTACTGTACCCATACACCATCTCTAGTTACTGTACCCACACACTATCTTTAGTTACTGTACCCACACACTATCTGTAGTTACTGTACCCACACACTATCTGTAGTTACTGTACCCTCACACTATCTTTAGTTACTGTACCCACACACTATCTGTAGTTACTGTACCCTCACACTATCTTTAGTTACTGTACCCACACACTATCTTTAGTTACTGTACCCACACAATCTGTAGTTACTGTACCCTCACACTATCTTTAGTTACTGTACCCACACACCATCTTTAGTTACTGTACCCACACACCATCTTTAGTTACTGTACCCTCACACTATCTTTAGTTACTGTACCCACACACTATCTTTAGTTACTGTACCCTCACACTATATTTAGTTACTGTACACTCACACTATCTTTAGTTACTGTACCCACACACTATCTTTAGTTACTGTACCCACACACTATCTTTAGTTACTGTACCCACACACCATCTTTAGTTACTGTACCCTCACACTATCTTTAGTTACTGTACCCACACACTATCTTTAGTTACTGTACCCACACAATCTGTAGTTACTGTACCCTCACACTATCTTTAGTTACTGTACCCACACACCATCTTTAGTTACTGTACCCTCACACTATCTTTAGTTACTGTACCCACACACCATCTTTAGTTACTGTACCCACACACTATCTTTAGTTACTGTACCCTCACACTATCTTTAGCTACTGTACCCAGAGGCGTTGCGAAGGGGGGGGGGGGTGCGGACCGCACCGTGTGACATCATTTAGGGGGTGACACCAAGGAAAAAAATAGCAAAATAAATAGCGAACATTTTGAGTGGTGGGGGTGGGGTGCAAATAGAAAGTTTGAGGGGGGGGTTGCGAATCGAAAGTTTGAGGGGCGGTGCAAATCGGAAGTTTGAGGTGGGGGGTGCAAATCGAAAGTTTGAGGGGGGGGGGTGTGTAAATCGAAAATTTGTCCCCGGGAAGGGTCGCTGCGCCTCTGGGGATTGACACCATTAAGTGCCGCACCGGGTGACACCCGACCTCGCTACGCCACTGACTGTACCCACACTATCTTTAGTTACTGTTCGCACACACTATCTTTAATTTCTGTACCCACAATATCCTTAGTGTATTTACCAACATAGTGCATACATACCTGAATCTCTTTAACGATCTTAGACCAATAGTCTTATCTAATTGACAAGGTGATTACCACATTCAACAATGGAGACATCTGCGGAAGTTTCTGGAATGTTGTCAGGGGTGAACGTGTACCTACTTTTGGGAACCATCACTGCGGCATTCTACTTCACCTACACCAAACTGACGTCACAAGACAACTGGGGGAAATATGGCGTCAAGCAGGGCACAATGGGTTTTGTTAGCTTAAAGTAATTGTTTTTTGTTGTTTTCTATCAAATCGTATACATTTAGCTTAAAGTACCTTTTTTTATCAAATTGTATAAATTTAGCTTAAAGTAGGCCTACCTATTTTTTTTATCAAATCGTATACATTTAGCTTAAAGTAGGCCTAACTATTTTGTTTATCACAGTTTACATTTAGCTTAAAGTAGGCCTAACTATTTTGTTTATCACAGTTTACATTTAGCTTAAAGTAGGCCTAACTATTTTGTTTATCACAGTTTACATTTAGCTTAAAGTAGGCCTAACTATTTTGTTTATCACAGTTTACATTTAGCTTAAAGTAGGCCTAACTATTTTGTTTATCACAGTTTACATTTAGCTTAAAGTACCTATTTGGTTTATCAAATCGTTTACGTTTAGCTTAAAGTGCCTGTTTTGTTTATCAAATCGTTTACATTTAGCTTAAAGTAGGCCTAACTATATGGTTTATTAAATCGTTTACATTTAGCTTAAAGTAGGCCTAACTATATGGTTTATTAAATCGTTTACATTTAGCTTAAAGTAGGCATAACTATTTGGTTTATTAAATCGTTTACATTTAGCTTAAAGTAGGCCTAACTATTTTGTTTATCAAATCGTTTACATTTAGTTTAAAGTAGGCCTAACTATTTGGTTTATCAAATCGTTTACATTTAGCTTAAAGTAGGCCTAACTATTTTGTTTATCAAATCGTTTACATTTAGCTTAAAGTAGGCCTAACTATATGGTTTATCAAATCGTTTACATTTAGCGTATAGTAGGCCTAACTATATGGTTTATCAAATCGTTTACAGTTAGCTTAAAGTAGGCCTAACTATTTTGTTTATCAAATCGTTTACATTTAGCTTAAAGTAGGCCTAACTATTTTGTTTATCAAATCGTTTACATTTAGCTTAAAGTAGGCCTAACTATTTTGTTTATCAAATCGTTTACATTTAGCTTAAAGTAGGCCTAACTATTTTGTTTATCAAATCGTTTACATTTAGCTTAAAGTAGGCCTAACTATTTTGTTTATCAAATCGTTTACATTTAGCTTAAAGTAGGCCTAACTATTTTGTTTATCAAATCGTTTACATTTAGCTTAAAGTAGGCCTAACTATTTTGTTTATCAAATCGTTTACATTTAGCTTAAAGTAGGCCTAACTATTTTGTTTATCAAATCGTTTACATTTAGCTTAAAGTAGCCCTAATTATATGGTTTATTAAATCGTTTACATTTAGCTTAAAGTAGGCCTAACTATTTTGTTTATCAAATCGTTTACATTTAGCTTAAAGTAGGCCTAACTACTTGGTTTATCAAATCGTTTACATTTAGTTTAAAGTAGGCCTAACTATTTTGTTTATTAAATCGTTTACATTTAGCTTAAAGTAGGCCTAACTATTTTGTTTATCAAATCGTTTACATTTAGCTTAAAGTAGGCCTAAATATTTTGTTTATCAAATCGTTTACATTTAGCTTAAAGTAGGCCTAACTATTTTGTTTATCAAATCGTTTACATTTAGCCTAAAGTAGGCCTAACTATTTGGTTTATTAAATCGTTTACATTTAGTTTAAAGTAGGCCTAACTATTTTGTTTATCACAGTTTACATTTAGCTTAAAGTAGGCCTAACTATTTGGTTTATCAAATCGTTTACATTTAGCTTAAAGTAGGCCTAACTATTTTGTTGATCAAATCGTTTACATTTAGCTTAAAGTAGGCCTAACTATTTGGTTTATTAAATCGTTTACATTTAGCCTAAAGTAGGCCTAACTATTTTGTTGATCAAATCGTTTACATTTAGCTTAAAGTAGGCCTAACTATTTTGTTGATCAAATCGTTTACATTTAGCTTAAAGTAGGCCTAACTATTTTGTTGATCAAATCGTTTACATTTAGCTTAAAGTAGGCCTAACTATTTGGTTTATTAAATCGTTTACATTTAGCCTAAAGTAGGCCTAACTATTTTGTTTATCAAATCGTTTACATTTAGCTTAAAGTAGGCCTAACTATTTTGTTGATCAAATCGTTTACATTTAGCTTAAAGTAGGCCTAACTATTTGGTTTATTAAATCGTTTACATTTAGCCTAAAGTAGGCCTAACTATTTTGTTGATCAAATCGTTTACATTTAGCTTAAAGTAGGCCTAACTATTTGGTTTATTAAATCGTTTACATTTAGCTTAAAGTAGGCCTAACTATTTTGTTTATCAAATCGTTTACATTTAGCTTAAAGTAGGCCTAACTATTTTGTTTATCAAATCGTTTACATTTAGCCTAAAGTAGGCCTAACTATTTGGTTTATCAAATCGTTTACATTTAGCTTAAAGTAGGCCTAACTATTTGGTTTATCAAATCGTTTACATTTAGCTTAAAGTAGGCCTAACTATTTTGTTTATCAAATCGTTTACATTTAGCCTAAAGTAGGCCTAACTATTTGGTTTATCAAATCGTTTACATTTAGCTTAAAGTAGGCCTAACTATTTGGTTTATCAAATCGTTTACATTTAGCTTAAAGTAGGCCTAACTATTTTGTTTATCAAATCGTTTACATTTAGCTTAAAGTAGGCCTAACTATTTTGTTTATCAAATCGTTTACATTTAGCTTAAAGTAGGCCTAACTATTTTGTTTATCAAATCGTTTACATTTAGCTTAAAGTAGGCCTAACTATTTTGTTTATCACATCGTTTACATTTAGCTTAAAGTAGGCCTAACTATTTTGTTTATTAAATCGTTTACATTTAGCTTAAAGTAGGCCTAACTATTTTGTTTATCAAATCGTTTACATTTAGCTTAAAGTAGGCCAAATTTTTTTGTTTATCAAATCGTTTACATTTAGCTTAAAGTAGGCCTAACTATTTGGTTTATCAAATCGTTTACATTTAGCTTAAAGTAGGCCTAACTATATGGTTTATCAAATCGTTTACATTTAGCCTAAAGTAGGCCTAACTATATGGTTTATTAAATCGTTTACATTTAGCTTAAAGTAGGCCTAACTATTCTGTTTATCAAATCGTTTACATTTAGCTTAAAGTAGGCCTAACTATATGGTTTATTAAATCGTTTACATTTAGTTTAAAGTAGGCCTAACTATTTGGTTTATCAAATCGTTTACATTTAGCTTAAAGTAGGCCTAACTATATGGTTTATTAAATCGTTTACATTTAGTTTAAAGTAGGCCTAACTATATGGTTTATCAAATCGTTTACATTTAGCTTAAAGTAGGCCTAACTATATGGTTTATTAAATCGTTTACATTTAGCTTAAAGTAGGCCTAACTATATGGTTTATTAAATCGTTTACATTTAGCCTAAAGTAGGCCTAACTATTTTGTTTATCAAATCGTTTACATTTAGCTTAAAGTAGGCCTAACTATTTTGTTTATCAAATCGTTTACATTTAGCTTAAAGTAGGCCTAACTATTTTGTTTATCAAATCGTTTACATTTAGCTTAAAGTAGGCCTAACTATTTTGTTTATCACATCGTTTACATTTAGCTTAAAGTAGGCCTAACTATTTTGTTTATTAAATCGTTTACATTTAGCTTAAAGTAGGCCTAACTATTTTGTTTATCAAATCGTTTACATTTAGCTTAAAGTAGGCCAAATTTTTTTGTTTATCAAATCGTTTACATTTAGCTTAAAGTAGGCCTAACTATTTGGTTTATCAAATCGTTTACATTTAGCTTAAAGTAGGCCTAACTATATGGTTTATCAAATCGTTTACATTTAGCCTAAAGTAGGCCTAACTATATGGTTTATTAAATCGTTTACATTTAGCTTAAAGTAGGCCTAACTATTCTGTTTATCAAATCGTTTACATTTAGCTTAAAGTAGGCCTAACTATATGGTTTATTAAATCGTTTACATTTAGTTTAAAGTAGGCCTAACTATTTGGTTTATCAAATCGTTTACATTTAGCCTAAAGTAGGCCTAACTATTTGGTTTATCAAATCGTTTACATTTAGCTTAAAGTAGGCCTAACTATTTGGTTTATCAAATCGTTTACATTTAGCTTAAAGTAGGCCTAACTATTTTGTTTATCAAATCGTTTACATTTAGCTTAAAGTAGGCCTAACTATTTTGTTGATCAAATCGTTTACATTTAGCTTAAAGTAGGCCTAACTATTTGGTTTATTAAATCGTTTACATTTAGCCTAAAGTAGGCCTAACTATTTTGTTGATCAAATCGTTTACATTTAGCTTAAAGTAGGCCTAACTATTTGGTTTATTAAATCGTTTACATTTAGCTTAAAGTAGGCCTAACTATTTTGTTTATCAAATCGTTTACATTTAGCTTAAAGTAGGCCTAACTATTTTGTTTATCAAATCGTTTACATTTAGCCTAAAGTAGGCCTAACTATTTGGTTTATCAAATCGTTTACATTTAGCTTAAAGTAGGCCTAACTATTTGGTTTATCAAATCGTTTACATTTAGCTTAAAGTAGGCCTAACTATTTTGTTTATCAAATCGTTTACATTTAGCCTAAAGTAGGCCTAACTATTTGGTTTATCAAATCGTTTACATTTAGCTTAAAGTAGGCCTAACTATTTGGTTTATCAAATCGTTTACATTTAGCTTAAAGTAGGCCTAACTATTTTGTTTATCAAATCGTTTACATTTAGCTTAAAGTAGGCCTAACTATTTTGTTTATCAAATCGTTTACATTTAGCTTAAAGTAGGCCTAACTATTTTGTTTATCAAATCGTTTACATTTAGCTTAAAGTAGGCCTAACTATTTTGTTTATCACATCGTTTACATTTAGCTTAAAGTAGGCCTAACTATTTTGTTTATTAAATCGTTTACATTTAGCTTAAAGTAGGCCTAACTATTTTGTTTATCAAATCGTTTACATTTAGCTTAAAGTAGGCCAAATTTTTTTGTTTATCAAATCGTTTACATTTAGCTTAAAGTAGGCCTAACTATTCTGTTTATCAAATCGTTTACATTTAGCTTAAAGTAGGCCTAACTATATGGTTTATCAAATCGTTTACATTTAGCCTAAAGTAGGCCTAACTATATGGTTTATTAAATCGTTTACATTTAGCTTAAAGTAGGCCTAACTATTCTGTTTATCAAATCGTTTACATTTAGCTTAAAGTAGGCCTAACTATATGGTTTATTAAATCGTTTACATTTAGTTTAAAGTAGGCCTAACTATTTGGTTTATCAAATCGTTTACATTTAGCTTAAAGTAGGCCAAATTTTTTTGTTTATTAAATCGTTTACATTTAGTTTAAAGTAGGCCTAACTATATGGTTTATCAAATCGTTTACATTTAGCTTAAAGTAGGCCTAACTATATGGTTTATTAAATCGTTTACATTTAGCTTAAAGTAGGCCTAACTATATGGTTTATTAAATCGTTTACATTTAGCCTAAAGTAGGCCTAACTATTTTGTTTATCAAATCGTTTACATTTAGCTTAAAGTAGGCCTAACTATTTTGTTTATCAAATCGTTTACATTTAGCTTAAAGTAGGCCTAACTATTTTGTTTATCAAATCGTTTACATTTAGCTTAAAGTAGGCCTAACTATTTTGTTTATCACATCGTTTACATTTAGCTTAAAGTAGGCCTAACTATTTTGTTTATTAAATCGTTTACATTTAGCTTAAAGTAGGCCTAACTATTTTGTTTATCAAATCGTTTACATTTAGCTTAAAGTAGGCCAAATTTTTTTGTTTATCAAATCGTTTACATTTAGCTTAAAGTAGGCCTAACTATTTGGTTTATCAAATCGTTTACATTTAGCTTAAAGTAGGCCTAACTATTTTGTTTATCAAATCGTTTACATTTAGCTTAAAGTAGGCCTAACTATTTTGTTTATCAAATCGTTTACATTTAGCTTAAAGTAGGCCTAACTATTTTGTTTATCAAATCGTTTACATTTAGCTTAAAGTAGGCCTAACTATTTTGTTTATCACATCGTTTACATTTAGCTTAAAGTAGGCCTAACTATTTTGTTTATTAAATCGTTTACATTTAGCTTAAAGTAGGCCTAACTATTTTGTTTATCAAATCGTTTACATTTAGCTTAAAGTAGGCCAAATTTTTTTGTTTATCAAATCGTTTACATTTAGCTTAAAGTAGGCCTAACTATTCTGTTTATCAAATCGTTTACATTTAGCTTAAAGTAGGCCTAACTATATGGTTTATCAAATCGTTTACATTTAGCCTAAAGTAGGCCTAACTATATGGTTTATTAAATCGTTTACATTTAGCTTAAAGTAGGCCTAACTATTCTGTTTATCAAATCGTTTACATTTAGCTTAAAGTAGGCCTAACTATATGGTTTATTAAATCGTTTACATTTAGTTTAAAGTAGGCCTAACTATTTGGTTTATCAAATCGTTTACATTTAGCTTAAAGTAGGCCAAATTTTTTTTTTTATTAAATCGTTTACATTTAGTTTAAAGTAGGCCTAACTATATGGTTTATCAAATCGTTTACATTTAGCTTAAAGTAGGCCTAACTATATGGTTTATTAAATCGTTTACATTTAGCTTAAAGTAGGCCTAACTATATGGTTTATTAAATCGTTTACATTTAGCTTAAAGTAGGCCTAACTATTTTGTTTATCAAATCGTTTACATTTAGCTTAAAGTAGGCCAAATTTTTTTGTTTATCAAATCGTTTACATTTAGCTTAAAGTAGGCCTAACTATTTGGTTTATCAAATCGTTTACATTTAGCTTAAAGTAGGCCTAACTATTTTGTTTATCAAATCGTTTACATTTAGCTTAAAGTAGGCCTAACTATTTTGTTTATCAAATCGTTTACATTTAGCTTAAAGTAGGCCTAACTATTTTGTTTATCAAATCGTTTACATTTAGCTTAAAGTAGGCCTAACTATTTTGTTTATCACATCGTTTACATTTAGCTTAAAGTAGGCCTAACTATTTTGTTTATTAAATCGTTTACATTTAGCTTAAAGTAGGCCTAACTATTTTGTTTATCAAATCGTTTACATTTAGCTTAAAGTAGGCCAAATTTTTTTGTTTATCAAATCGTTTACATTTAGCTTAAAGTAGGCCTAACTATTCTGTTTATCAAATCGTTTACATTTAGCTTAAAGTAGGCCTAACTATATGGTTTATCAAATCGTTTACATTTAGCCTAAAGTAGGCCTAACTATATGGTTTATTAAATCGTTTACATTTAGCTTAAAGTAGGCCTAACTATTCTGTTTATCAAATCGTTTACATTTAGCTTAAAGTAGGCCTAACTATATGGTTTATTAAATCGTTTACATTTAGTTTAAAGTAGGCCTAACTATTTGGTTTATCAAATCGTTTACATTTAGCTTAAAGTAGGCCAAATTTTTTTGTTTATTAAATCGTTTACATTTAGTTTAAAGTAGGCCTAACTATATGGTTTATCAAATCGTTTACATTTAGCTTAAAGTAGGCCTAACTATATGGTTTATTAAATCGTTTACATTTAGCTTAAAGTAGGCCTAACTATATGGTTTATTAAATCGTTTACATTTAGCCTAAAGTAGGCCTAACTATTTTGTTTATCAAATCGTTTACATTTAGCTTAAAGTAGGCCTAACTATTTTGTTTATCAAATCGTTTACATTTAGCTTAAAGTAGGCCTAACTATTTTGTTTATCAAATCGTTTACATTTAGCTTAAAGTAGGCCTAACTATTTTGTTTATCACATCGTTTACATTTAGCTTAAAGTAGGCCTAACTATTTTGTTTATTAAATCGTTTACATTTAGCTTAAAGTAGGCCTAACTATTTTGTTTATCAAATCGTTTACATTTAGCTTAAAGTAGGCCAAATTTTTTTGTTTATCAAATCGTTTACATTTAGCTTAAAGTAGGCCTAACTATTTGGTTTATCAAATCGTTTACATTTAGCTTAAAGTAGGCCTAACTATATGGTTTATCAAATCGTTTACATTTAGCCTAAAGTAGGCCTAACTATATGGTTTATTAAATCGTTTACATTTAGCTTAAAGTAGGCCTAACTATTCTGTTTATCAAATCGTTTACATTTAGCTTAAAGTAGGCCTAACTATATGGTTTATTAAATCGTTTACATTTAGTTTAAAGTAGGCCTAACTATTTGGTTTATCAAATCGTTTACATTTAGCTTAAAGTAGGCCTAACTATATGGTTTATTAAATCGTTTACATTTAGTTTAAAGTAGGCCTAACTATATGGTTTATCAAATCGTTTACATTTAGCTTAAAGTAGGCCTAACTATATGGTTTATTAAATCGTTTACATTTAGCCTAAAGTAGGCCTAACTATATGGTTTATTAAATCGTTTACATTTAGCTTAAAGTAGGCCTAACTATTCTGTTTATCAAATCGTTTACATTTAGCTTAAAGTAGGCCTAACTATATGGTTTATTAAATCGTTTACATTTAGTTTAAAGTAGGCCTAACTATTTGGTTGATCAAATCGTTTACATTTAGCTTAAAGTAGGCCTAACTATATGGTTTATTAAATCGTTTACATTTAGTTTAAAGTAGGCCTAACTATATGGTTTATCAAATCGTTTACATTTAGCTTAAAGTAGGCCTAACTATATGGTTTATTAAATCGTTTACATTTAGCTTAAAGTAGGCCTAACTATATGGTTTATTAAATCGTTTACATTTAGCCTAAAGTAGGCCTAACTATATGGTTTATTAAATCGTTTACATTTAGCTTAAAGTAGGCCTAACTATATGGTTTATTAAATCGTTTACATTTAGCTTAAAGTAGGCCTAACTATATGGTTTATCAAATCGTTTACATTAGCTTAAAGTACCTTTTTTTTCTATCAAATCGTGTACATTTAGCTTCAAGTATCATGTTTTTTTTTCTATCAGATAGTATACATTTTTATTTCATATAGTTTTTATTTTATGTAATATTATTTCCTATAATTTTATAACTTTATAGCAGATTATAGGCTATAGTATGAGGTGCCTGTCTATTTGGGTGCCTAATTATACTCCATATAAGTTTCTAAGGGTATCTTTAAAAAAAAACACATGACTGAAACTACTTTAAAAATTTCTAGAGACGGGTTCACGAAACTTCTGGACCAACTCGGCGACACGTTCGGCCTATGTCGTGGTAAGATGCTGTTGGTGACACGTGACCTTGGTCTGCTCAGGGAGGTACTGGTCAAGGACTTCAACAACTTCGTGGACAGGGAGATTGTTTTCAACACTCACTCCATCATCGTCAAGGGGCTCTTCTTTCTTCAAGGCCAGGACTGGAAGCGGATCAGACAGATTATGTCCCCTTCATTTAGGTATGTCTGATTGGTAATTCGGTAACTATTGATTAGTAAGTGAGTCAATTTGCATTGGTTTCTATGGTGTTCAGATAGATGAATTAAAAATGTTTTCTCTTCTTAAAATAACGGTGTTCTCCTTAAGTGCCAGAATAAGTTACCAATCGAAGGAATTATTTTAAGTTCAAATATCGAAATCTGTATTGCTAAGAAATGTGGTATTTAACATTTAAATTCCTTTTCATTTGTCTATCTTTTCTTTTCGAAAAAAAAGTGTTGCTTTTATTGATTCCAAGGTACTTATCATTAAAAGAATAAAAATTACGTTTATACCCAAAAGCTAGTTTGACATATATAATTTCTTAACCTAAACATACAAAATACATGATTAAACTACCATGTATGGTCGCTCAGATCAGGGACTTGATAGAGGTGTGCTGGCTGTAGATACCACAACAAAACAACCTAGAAAAAAATTGCGTTAGCCGTTTGTATGCCACCTCTTGTCCACGTCTTCCATTATTTCTGGCATTTTAAAATATCATCTAAATATACTCATGATTTTATTTCTTCAATCAACCAGCACGGGTAAGCTCAAACACATGTCCAAGACAATCGAGGAACGAGCCATCAAGCTGACCCAGGTGCTAGAAGACTATGCCAGACAAGGGAAACTCCTCCCCGTCAAGGACATCGCTGGTCAGTACACGAGTGAGATCATCGCCAGGACAGCGTTTGGATTCAACACCAACTGCCTGGGGGGTCAAGATGATGAGTTCACCTTCTACAGTAAAAATATGATCAAGAATCGGGGAAAAATCATGTCCAAAGTGTTGATTTTATTCTTCAGATTTCCGGCTTTTCACGGGTTTTGTGTTAAAGTAAGTTTTCACCAATAATTCAGCCAATTTTTTTTACACAAGTTTACGAATCTGCCATTGCTTTTCATGATAGTTTTAACTGATTCCTTAAACTTGTGTAGATTTCATACACATGCTTCAACATTTTAAAGATGTTTAGCTGAAACCTTTATAGCAGCTTATACGATAAATTCACAAACATTTTAAAACTAATTCATTGAGTTCCTCAACGTTCTGCATTAATAAGCATTGCATGGGTATATCATAACTTCTTTTGATATTTAAAAAATTCTTCAGACTCTAGGCTTGAAATTCATGGACGGATTTCGAGAAGATTCCGATATTTATTTCAAGTCCATTTTAAAAGGATCTATTGAAGAAAGAACGGAAAGAGAGAGACGGAAAGAGAAAGTACCCCAGGACTTCCTGCAGAGTTTGATACACGCCAAGGCTGCAGGAGACAGGGGGGAGGTCTTAGGTGAGTCATGAGTCAGGGGGGAGGTCTTGGGTGAGTCATGAGTCAGGGGGAGATCTTGGGTGAGTCGTGAGTCAGGGGGGAGGTCTTGGGTGAGTCATGAGTCAGGGGAGAGGCGGTGGGTGAGTCGTGAGTCAGGGGGGAGGTCTTGGGTGAGTCATGAGTCAGGGGGGAGGTTTTGGGTGAGTCGTGAGTCAGGGGGGAGGTGGTGGGTGAGTCATGAGTCAGGGGGGAGGTGGTGGGTGAGTCGTGAGTCAGGGGGGAGGTGGTGGGTGAGTCGTGAGTCAGGGGGGAGGTGGTGGGTGAGTCGTGAGTCAGGGGGGAGGTGGTGGGTGAGTCATGAGTCAGGGGGGAGGTGGTGGGTGAGTCGTGAGTCAGGGGGGAGGTGGTGGGTGAGTCATGAGTCAGGGGGGAGGTGGTGGGTGAGTCATGAGTCCACCCAAATGATTGTAATTATAAAAATGATTCTAACCTTTATTCCGACCTTTTGGCTATTTTAGGTTCATAGCGAAAATATTTTTTTAAGAAAATGACTTTTGCTTTTTTTTCATAGAAAACACTGACGACATTGACGATGAAATGTCGCGAAACAGCGTCGGCTTCGATAAACAACCAAAGACAATGTCCAATGAGGAGCTGATGGGTCAGTCTGTGCTGGTTATATTAGCTGGGTTCGAAACCACGGCCACCACACTACAGATGTGTCTCTACCTGCTGGCCAAACATCCAGAAATCCAGGTAAAACCTAGTTGCTTGAGAGGCCACGGATGATTATTGTTGACACGGATGAATAACGTATTGTTGTCATCTTTGGCTTCATAGCAACCGTAAAATAACAACATCTAAGCATGGTTTTTATTTATACGAAACTTCAGCTTCAATTTTACAGACATTAAAGGAGATCTAGATTGACTGCATTGTTGGTAGGTAGCGCTCACGACTGCTGACTCAAACGTCTCGAGTTCCAATCATGGACTTCAGTTTTTAGGACTAGACTAAGTCAACCTAGTTGTGACAGATACCTGACCTACCGTAGGAAAAGAAGGCAGCGGGGGGCATATAAGGACAAAACAATCCTTTTATATTCTGACGCCACTAAAACAGATGACCACTACTTCATTAGCCATACACGCTGAAAAGCATACAAGAAAATTCATTACTTTGTATATGCAGAATGCAATTCACATATGACTATGAAAATAAGTTTTGTACTTGTAGGAGAAGATGTGTGAAGAGATTGAGAATGTTGTCCACGGGGAGACGCCCACCTATGAGGAGCTACACAAGCTGACGTACATAGAGCAGGTCATCAACGAGACCTTGAGATTTTACCCACCTGTCCCCATCATCTCCAGGAGGGCCGCGGAAACCAGGACCTACGGGAACATCACGATCCCTAAAGGAGCGGGGGTCATGATCCCATCGTTTGCCGTCCTCACCGACCCCAAGCATTACCCCGACCCCGAAAAATTCGACCCCGACAGATTTACTGAAGAAAACAAAGCCAAGCGTGACCCCATGGCCTTCATGCCTTTCGGATATGGCCCCAGAATTTGTATTGGGATGAGACTTGCTTACCTGGAGTTAAAGATGGCGCTGGCTACTCTCCTCAGAAAAGTCAGGGTAGAGTTAAATGAAGAAACAGAACCAAAGAAAGGGGTGGATGTTGCCATCAAAGCAATTGGAATTTTAAAACCTGAAAAGCCCATTTTGTTAGCTGTTAGGCTAAGGTCAGAATAACCAAAAACAGAAGAACGTTGAAAAACCGGTTAAAATACGTCATGTGTGATCCTGACAATGACAAATAAAACCTAGATCGTTGCTGTTCTTCACTTTACTACAGGATGAAAATGTGATCTATTTTGTTGCTGTTTCATTTGAACTGATCAATAATCTGACATTAATGGCATATACACTGATATTTTTTTTTTAATAAATTACATTTACTGATAAAATAAGGTTTATTATGGGCATTTTAGTGGATACGTTTTCGATTCTTCAATGTCTGTTGCATTAATACTTAAAAATGTTACTGAAGAGACATTTTAACTGGTAAACGAATGTAATATTTATGATGTTTGAACAGACACACTAGGTTCATAAATCTCACTTAGACGGATCAGATTTTTTTGATGTATTTAAATGGAACTATAACTAAAGATAATGGCTGTTAAAATAAAACTAACCAGTATTACAAGAACATATTTATTTTAGCTTTACACCATCTAGGATCGGAATATTCCAATTATCAACCAGAATTTCCTTTTAATAATAATAATGTAATTTGTTGTTATGTAGAACCTGACTTAGTATTCCACGCTACTTTTTGTCTATATTAGAACCTGACTTAGTATTCTACATTACTTTCTGACTATATAGACTACTTGATATATACATGAACAGAACACTATTTTGTTTAGCTGATTGTTCTCTTTACACCCACTACTTAAAAGCTAATTTTGTGTTTGTATACACATTTTTTAAATGTTTAAGTTAAATATAGCCAACTTACTAAATATTTATTTCGTTTTTCGATTCTTGTACAAACTGATTTGATGAGTGGCAGTTTTCAAAGAACACAAGCAAAAAGAAAATACGCGCTGAAGTTAAACAAACACATCACAAATATAAATACAACCAACAATAAACCTAAACAAAAATAAAACAATGTCAATAAAAACACACACAAATCCAAACACTCAATGTGGACACACTCAAACAAAAAGAAACACTACGAACACAAAAATAAATACAAACTCACAACTGCTATTAACACAAAATAGACACACGCAACCGATTTGAACAGAAAACTAAAAATAAACACACAGCGAATATAAACACAAACACACTACAATTTCAAGCACGGCAAACACTCAACGAAGACAAGCACATTATCCATACCACTCATTTCAATTTGCTTTTCACCTCCTAAAACTGTTACGTATACTGACCTTGCAACCTTCCTTCCAGTGCCGTACGGGATGTCAATGCTTTACCGTAAACATTTTAAACACCTACACATTTAATTTTGTTTTAAATGCTTATGCAGCCTTTTTATGTTTTGATCTTTGGAGTTAAATTAACTCTTTTTACTGCCTGAATTGAAAAATAAACAGACGTCAATATCTTTATGCATTACTTATTTATGTATTACATTTAATAATTATTATAGTATTATATTCTTTTAATTTAAAAAATGTCTTTAAGTGTTTTAAAAAACTGGTCAAACGAGTTGCCATACTTTCAAATTATTTTAGTTCGACTCCAACTAGGCTGTGGAGCCAGCCAATGGCTGGGTTGCAAGCAGAGTATCTAGGTCACGCTGTATTGAATAAGTCATGTGTGCTTTAAATGTTTACTACGCGGCGTTTCGATCGTGAATAATTGTAGGAATTTTTTTATTATTTATTCGGAGATTTGGGTGAGTTGGTTGGTTTGTGCATGTGGTTTAATTATTATAAAAAGGTAGTTTTTTGCATAGTGCATGAACACACAACACACAATGCCTAAAGTGCATGTAAACACACAGTCAAAATTGCATGTATACACACACTTTCAAAAGTGCATGTACACACTGTCTAAAGCGCATGTGCACACACTGTCTAAAGTACATGTACACACTGTCTAAAGTACATGTACACACTGCCAAAAGGGCATGTATACCCACTGTCAAAAATGCATACACATATATTCACAAGTGCATGTACACACACTGTCAAAAGTGCATGTACACACACTATCGTACGTGCGTAGTGTATGTATATGTTACGGTCAAAGTCCGAAGTGCGGCCAAAGCACGGATTGGCCGGCCAATCCGCGCATTGGCCGGCTCTCTTGGCCAAAGCCCGAAGAACTTAGCACTAAGATCGTATTTCGTACATTGGCCGGCCAATGTGCGCTCTGGCCGGGACGTACTGGTCAAAGTCCGAAGTGCGGCCAAAGCACGGATTGGCCGGCCAATCCGCGCATTGGCCGGCTCTCTTGGCCAAAGCCCGAAGAACTTAGCACTAAGATCGTATTTCGTACATTGGCCGGCCAATGTGCGCTCTGGCCGGGACGTACTGGCCAAAGTCCGAAGCGCTTAAACTTGACAGCGTATTTTGTACATTGGCCGGCCAATTCGCGCACTGGCCGGGATGTCCTCGCCAATGTTCTATCTAGACTAAGTTGTGATCGCATTTTCATTATTCTGGGTGCGTTATCATTGAGAGTAACGTATTGTTTAGCTCTTGTTTGTATAGCATTCTATATGCAAGGCGACATGGATCAAAAGGGCCGTCAGACCATTAGACAGACATAGCAGATGGCTGTCAAAAGAAAAAAATGTAAATCCTTGTTAGTTTCCATATATGGGCTCTCGATAAAATAGTTACTGAGGAAGATCTTGAGAACATTGAACAAGAAATGGAGGTTGCCATAAATGCAACGACATCCTCATCTAACACATCTGCTGCCGTGGCGGAACGCCCAGGCCAATTGCGTGACAATAATGTGGCCAACAGATTCTATATAGTTTGTGAAAAACATTGTAGTGCAGCCCATTCTTTTGGATCCTGTGGCAACGATGTCCATGCTATTTGTGGAATACCCAATGAAGCAGACGAAGGGTACGGAGGGAACATTACCTGCAGATTGTGTCACAACAAACAAGGTATCATGGAACACAGATCAGCAGCTCATACTGGCTTGCAAAGATGGTGAAGTGGGTGACAAAGTACGCATCTGTTTTCCAGATGTTGACAGAGGTCACGGTGATCCCCGAAGCGTGATTGCAGTTGTCATGAGCGTCGAGGGCGGTTTCTACAAATTAGGAACGGAACATGGTGTTCTAAACCAACTGTATGCTAGAAGTGAGTTTTCAATTCTTCACGAAAAACTGCTCTTATTGTCGTCAGTTGGCACTGAGGAAAATTCACTACGAACCATCGCATCTTCACAATCATTGACTGGGGGCCAAGGCTAAACTCGCTGCAATTGCACAACTAGGTGCACAACAAATCGCTGCAAGTGTAAAAATAACAAGCTGCTATGTAATTCTAAATGCCATAAAAGTTCAACTTGTTGTAACAAATGATGATATTGATAGATTGAGACTATAGTACGATAAAAAATTACTTTAATTAATAATCAATAAAGACTTAATTTCATGATCCTTACGGCATAAAAAAAAAATCTGCTCATGATCTTCTAATTCGGACTTTGGCCGGTCCACCATGGACAGTCCGCGGACTGGCCGGCCAAAGGCCGAAATCAAGAGCTATTTCAGACTTTGGCCGGTCCACCATAGCCTAGCCGACTTCGGGCTTTGACCGTAACATATACACCCTTAGTGTACTCACTCAATTATTTGTAAACACGTACACGCTGTCACTATCACTTACACGTGTGCATTATGCCGTGGGTCAGAACTGGTCTTGGGGATACTCCATTTTTTTAGGTTTATAATTATATACATCCGCGATTAAAAACCAACGCTTACACACACACACCCACACACACATACATACATACTAGCACTGGACCGTATAGGCTACTAACGCACACACACACACACACACATCCTCACATGCGCGCACTCCCACATTTTTCAGCAACGTTTTAATGTTTCTTTGAGCAGACGACAAATAACTGCTACTAGCAGTGCTAGCATGGAGGTCACTGAACCTGATCCTGGAATCTTGTCCGGCGTGACGTGGTACCTGCTGCTGGGTGTCGTCACGGCGGCCGTCTACGTCATCTATAACGCTCTGACGTCACACGACAGCTGGGAGAAATATGGCGTCAAGCAGGCCTCAATTGGATTGGTTAATCTTAAGTCAGTACTTCATTTTTTAATACTTTATCTTTATCATTTTCTTCCAGGCATCTCTTCGGGGTGGGAGTGGGGGGGGGGAGGGGGGGGGGGCGAATAAAATGGAATTTATATAGAAGACATACTTTTACTAGTGTCCGCCCCCCTCCGGAAAATGTTGTCTCCGCCCACCCCCCTCCCCCCTCTCGAAAATATCAAATGCCTCCCCGGAGAAAAAAGTCTGGAAGAAGCACTAATCTTTATTAATCTTTTTTCTATCATATATTTTACATACAGTAAGAGTTTTTACAAATTCTTCAAAAATTCCTGAACTTCTGTTCTCTCAAGGCTAAGTGGGCGCGCGGCCGCGCAGTAGTTGAACACCTGTCGCGTAGTCAGTGTTAGACTAAAAATAGCCTCGAATACTTCTATTGAGAGCATACAAAGTACACGTAAAAACAAGGTAGAGAAACACAGCATTGGAGTAGTGAGAGACATTAAGATAAAGAATTCCCAAACATAGTGGATAAAAGATTTAAAATTCTCTGTTGCATCTAAGCTGTCCATATCGTTTTTTGGACAATGTGCGCTTTATTCTAGATTACTCAAGGATTTAAACCTGGTACCTAATGGGTTTAGGCCTTTAAGTTTTGAGAAGCTAGCTCATTAAATATAATTTTAAAATTTAGGATGTATAGGGGGGGTTGGGTGGTGGGAGATATGCATTTGCGTCTCTTCCGAGTTATATTAATAGAGATACAAACATTTAGAAACATTGAGAACATGTTATTTACAATATAAAAACTGACAATATGCATATTTTTTTTTTTGTAAATTCTATGGTCCGCATTGCCTTGGAATTTTCACAAAAGTTATATAAAACGCCATTCTGCGCATTTAGTGTAGTGTAGATTTTATTCGAAAAATATGTGCGTAGAAAAAGTTGATTCTAAGCGCCTATAAATACTTCTACGAATTTTTAATATAGTTATAATCCCCATAGATTTTTAAGCCATAAGCTGCATTTTTTTGTGTGAAGTGGAGGGGGGAGGGTTCTCTGCTCAAAGCTAGTTCTGTCATTTAGGGACGGGTTCTCTGCTAAAGCTAGTCCTGTCTTGTAGGGAAGCTTAATGCTAGTTCTGTAATCTAGGGATGGGTTCTCTACTATAAGCTAGTTCTGTCATCTAGCTAGTTCTGTCATCTAGTTAGTCCTGTCATCTAGAGACCGGTTCTCTGCTAAAGCTAGTCCTATCTTCTAGGGACGGGTTCTCTGCTAAAGCTAGTCCTATCTTCTAGGGACGGGTTCTCTGATAAAATTAGACCTATCTTCTAGGGACGGGTTCTCTGATAAAATTAGTCCTATCTTCTAGGGACGGGTTTTCTGCTAAAGCTAGTCCTATCTTGTACAGACGGGTTCTCTTCTAAAATTAGTTCTGTCATCTAGAGATCTTAAAATTAGTCCTATCTTGTAGGGACGGGTTCTCTGATAAAATTAGTCCTATCTTGTAGAGACGGGTTCTCTGATAAAATTTAGTCCTATCTTCTAGGGACGGGTTCTCTGATAAAATTAGTCCTATCTTCTAGGGACGGGTTTTCTGCTAAAGCTAGTCCTATCTTGTACAGACGGGTTCTCTTCTAAAATTAGTTCTGTCATCTAGAGATCTTAAAATTAGTCCTATCTTGTAGGGACGGGTTCTCTGATAAAATTAGTCCTATCTTGTAGGGACGGGTTCTCTGATAAAATTTAGTCCTATCTTCTAGGGACGGGTTCTCTGATAAAGCTAGTCCTATCTTGTAGGGATTGGTTCTCTGATAAAATTAGTCCTATCTTGTAGGGACGGGTTCTCTGATAAAATTTAGTCCTATCTTCTAGGGACGGGTTCTCTGATAAAGCTAGTCCTATCTTGTAGGGATTGGTTCTCTAATAAAATTAGTCCTATCATCTAGAGACGGGTTCTCTCAACTGCTGGCCGAACATGGAGACACAGTCGGCATCTACCGCTGTAACCTGCAGCTACTGACCAGGGACCTGGCCATCCTGAAGGAGGTCATGGTCAAGGACTTCAACAACTTCGTGGACAGGGAGGAGGTGCCCATCACTCGCTCCATCGTCACCAAGGGGATTTTCTTTCTCCAAGGCCAGGACTGGAAGCGGGTCAGACAGATTATGTCCCCTTCATTTAGGTAGGCATTGTTTTTTATTTTTTTATTTTTCAATTAGTCTACGCTCATATGTAATGTGATTACTCATAGATAAATTAATTTTAGAGAAGGGATTTGTATTGCCTAGTTTTATTAAAACATTCGCGCAAACCTTAGATCCATGGGGCAGGTGAAGTAGAGTTCACCTGTTTTATTGACCTCGGTTAGTGTGGTCAGCACTATCCCCAGCCGTTTTTCTTTCTCTAACGTGATCAGCCAACCATGAGAGCTGGGTGGACTCATCCTACGAACTCGAGCCCGGAGTCCAAATACAAAACTTGGGTTAGCAATCAAACACAATTTCATCAGTGTACCTTAAAAATGTCTTCATTGTATACAAATACTGGTGTTATTTTCCTTTTATACCCGTAGCACAGGTAAGCTGAAACACATGTCCAAGACAGTGGAAGAACGAGCCATCAAGCTGACCCAGGTGCTAGAAGACTATGCCAGACAAGGGAAACTCCTCCCCGTCAAGGACATCGCTGGTCAGTACACGAGCGAGATCATCGCGAGGACAGCGTTTGGGTTCAACACCCACAGTCTAGGGGGTCCGGACGATGAGTTCACCTCCTACATCAAACAGATGTTCAAGATCTACGGGAAGCTCATGACCCTCGTCATGATCTTCTTCTTCAGATTTTCTAATCTGCACCGGTTTTTTGTTCATGTTAGTCAATATGATATCATATACACTGTGTGTGCGGGATAGAGAGGGGATGTGAGATGTTGATTTAGATGTTAATGTATGCGTGTGGAGGTGGGGAGGGTGGGGGGAGGGCAAAGAATAAAATAGCTGAAATGGGCTAGCAAAGTACGAAATTATTTTTGACGCCATTTAAGCATTATATTAAGTAGCCAAACAGGATTATATATATATATATATATATATATATATATATATATATATATATATATATATATATATATACATACATACATATATACTTATATCTTGAGCATTTATCCCCCAGACTCTGAAGATTAAAGCTGTGGATGGATTTCGAGAAGATTCTGAACTTTATTTCAGAACCATTCTGGAGAAGTCCATTGAAGAAAGAACGGAAAGAGAGAGACGGAAAGAGAAAGTACCCCAGGACTTCCTGCAGAGTTTGATACACGCCAAGGCTGCGGGAGACAGGGGAGAGGTCTTAGGTGAGTCATGAGTCAGGGGAGAGGTCTTGGGTGAGTCATAAGACAGGGGAGAGGTATTGGGTGAGTCATGAGTCAGGGGAGAGGTCTTGGGTGAGTCATAAGACAGGGGAGAGGTCTTGGGTGAGTCATGAGTCAGGGGAGAGGTCTTGGGTGAGTCATAAGACTGGGGAGAGGTCTTGGGTGAGTCATGAGTCAGGGGAGAGGTCTTGGGTGAGTCATAAGACAGGGGAGAGGTCTTGGGTGAGTCATGAGTCAGGGGAGAGGTCTTGGGTGAGTCATAAGACAGGGGAGAGGTCTTGGGTGAGTCATGAGTCAGGGGAGAGGTCTTGGGTGAGTCATAAGACAGGGGAGAGGTCTTGGGTGAGTCATGAGTCAGGGGGGAGGTCTTGGGTGAGTCAGGGGGGAGGTCTTGGGTGAGTCAGGGGGGAGGTCTTGGGTGAGTCATGAGTCAGGGGGGGAGGTCTTGGGTGAGTCAGGGGGGAGGTGCTGGGTGAGTCAAAAGACAGGGGAGAGGTCTTGGGTGAGTCATGAGTCATGAGCCAGATGGGAGGTCTTGGGTGAGTGTTGCCTTCATTTTTTTATAAAATTGCAAGAAAAACTTTTTGTCTGAAACAAAAAAATTGGGTGTATCAAAGTTTCCGCCAGCCCTATACCTGATTTTGGTCTGACTTTTTTGTATTCTTTAAACTGTATATAATCAAGATTTTCGTACTTCTCACTAATTAATAGCGCAATTTTCTGAAAACAGTTCTGTTTATTTTAAGAGGTTGTCCGTAAATGACGTCACACAACTTAGGGGATAAGGTAGAAATATATAATATTTTAAATCCTTACATAGTTTAACGTTTGAGAAAGTAGTGTTTAAATAAAGAAAAATTGTAATTTAATGAGTATGACGAAGTATGACTTGTTGTATTGATGTGTCACGCGTAGTAAAGACAGGGGGATCTTATAACAGAATCAGCCTGATCCCATTTAATGACGACCCCCCATTTTTGTTGCTGGTGCTCCACATCAACTACTTATTTAAAACAACAACACCAACAATAACAAAAATAACAACAACGACGTGCAATGTTAAAACTTGTTCCAATCTCCTTGACAGAACACACCGACGACATTGACGATGAAATGTCGCGAAACACTGTAGTCTGGGACAAACAGCCCAAGACAATGTCCACTGAGGAGCTGATGGGTCAGTCATTTCTGGTCATCATTGCTGGGTTCGAAACCACGGCCACCACCTTACAACTCCTACTGTACTTGCTCGCCAAACATCCAGATATCCAGGTAAATACATCCAGATATCCAGGTAAATACATCCAGATATCCAGGTAAATACATCCAGATATCCCCAGGTAAATACATCCAGATATCCAGGTAAATACATTCAGATATCCAGGTAAATACATTCAGATATCCAGGTAAATACATCCAGATATCCAGGTAAATACATCTAGATATCCAGGTAAATACATCCAGATATCCCCAGGTAAATACATCCAGATATCCAGGTAAATACATCCAGATATCCAGGTAAATACATCCAGATATCTAGGTAAATACATCCAGATATCCTGGTAAATACATCCAGATATCTAGGTAAATACATCCAGATATCCTGGTAAACTCATTCAGATATCCAGGTAAATACTTCGAGATATCCAGGTAAATACATACAAATATCCAGGTAAATACATGCAAATATCCATGTAAATACATACAAATATCCAAGTAAATGCATACAGATATACCGGTAAATACATACACATATCCATGTAAAGCGTTTTATTTTCGGATAACTAGAATATCTAGTTGATTAACCTTTAAAACTTTGATTGTTGTAGACTCTAAACTCTTCATATTACAATCTATGGGGTGGGGTGGAGATGGGGTCCTTACTAGTGAGTTAATCTGGCATTACTCTCTCCACCACTGCAACCCCGGAATATCCCAATTTATATGTAAAACTATTTTTTTAGAAACCAAATGTTATAAAAATATGTGTATGTCTCCAGGAGAAAGTATGTGAAGAAATTGAGAGCGTCGTCCAAGGGGAGACGCCCACCTATGAAGAGCTACACAAGCTGACCTACACCGAACAGGTGATCAACGAGACCTTGAGATTTTACCCACCTGTCCCCATCATTAACCGAAGAGCCGCGGAGACCAGGACCTACGGGAACATCACCATCCCTAAAGGAGCGGGGGTCATGATTCCCACTTTTGCTGTCCTTCAAGATCCCAAGCATTACCCCGATCCCGAAAAATTCGACCCCGAGAGATTTTCTGAAGAGAACAAAGCCAAACGTGATCCCATGGCCTTCATGCCTTTCGGATATGGCCCCCGGATTTGTATTGGGATGAGACTTGCTTACCTGGAGTTAAAGATGGCGCTGGCTACACTGCTCAGGAAGGTCAGGGTCGAGCTGAATGAGGAGACAGTACCTGAGAGGGGTGATGACATTGTGGTCAAATCAGTGGGTGTGTTAGTTACAGACAGACCCATCATGCTCGCCGTCAAGTTGAGGTCAGAGTAACCCCACGTTACCGGAAAGCCACATTAATATCCAAGACGAAAACACAGAGTTCCTTTAATAAACTAACAACTAACACAGAAGCATGTCAGCAAATATGGCTTAAAGTAAACACAACTTGCGAGATTCAATCAAGCAGATTGCATGCACTAACTGTAGTAACTTGTGAAATAATGGCATATTGTTGTATCTATTTGCTATGTTTAGGGTTGTCCGCTGACAAAGGTATTAAAAATAAGAAAAGAAAAAGTTGTATATAACAATGCAGAAAAAATATATAATCTACCTGCACAGCTAAATACACTAATACAAAGATTCTTGTATGATATAACCATGACAATTTTATTATAATACATTCTGCCTGCTTTTATTTAAATGGGCGTCCACATATTATTTATCTCGCTGTTTTATCGATATTTTAAACCTCTTTTTATTTAGGACATTGTCGTCACCAATAAGTGAGACCTAATTCCCAAAAAATGACGTCACACTGTTACATGCATCATTTACCTTTTTGTCAAAACAGCAGCTTCTTTATAAAATATCAACTGAGCATGGTCGAAGTTAAGTAAGAGGATTTAAATTACAATAAAGAAAACGTCTTTAAAAATGTGAAATAACTGCAAACTAAAGTTTTTTAAATATTTCTTCATCTTGGTTATTTGTTAAACACCATGGGGCCCGTTGACTATTACTCTAGCCAGCTTTAATTTATGAATTTGCTTACATAGCCTTTGCCCACCCAAGAACAATCTACAAGGCAGCAATTGTTTGATTTTGGAGTTTTCTCTCCTAGATGGGTTGCTGTCTCCATGGTATCGAGCCTCAATTGCCCGGGGACCCAAACTCGGACGTTTTGAGTTAGCAACCACGCGCTCTCCCACTCGACCACGCCTTCCCCTCTAACCTTTCAAGATGCTAAACAGTAGCGTCAGACTTCCATACCCCTCTACCATTCTCACATGTCAAACATTGTCACAAAAACCCGAACCCTACACCCAGTTTAGGAGCCCGAACCCTACATCCAGTACACCACTGTGACCAGTGTTTCTTCCAAGCATCTCTTCGGACCCCCCTCCCCGATGAGATTCTACCCCCCCCCCCCCCCACACCCTCGAACGAAATGGAAGTTATATAGAAAATATATACTTTTAACAGTGTCTCCCCTCCCCCACGGAAATTTTAGTCCGCACCCCCCGAAAATTTCAAGTTCCCCCCCCCCCCCCGGAGAAAAAAGTCTGGAAGTAACACTGAGTGTGACGACCCCTAAAAACTGTACTTAACTGTATATATCTCATAAGTACTCATATAATATGCTTTGTGTTGTCTTTTTAAAAATATTTTTACATTTTTTGGTTGTGCTTTTGTTAGAAGTTTTAGACAATAAAAAGAATTTAAAAATAGAAATTTGTTATTTCTGTGGTTGTTCTCTTGAATGCGTTTGAATAAATAGATTCTACAACGAAATTGTTATTATTTTGTTGTAGGCTTACATAGTCCTACTGTTCTTGTGTCTGCAATGAAAGTAATCTAGGTCAATGTCAGAACTCACCGTGTAAACATGTTGACTCCTTGTGTTTTTCACTGGAATTTTTTCAGTTGATTATTGGAAACATTGAAAATAAATCTCACATAAAAAATAAAAAAGTAAAAAGGCTTTTATTATATTCACAAATCACCATTTATTTTTAATCAAAAATGAAAAAATGCACCAAAAAGTAAAAACAAAAAAAAATTAGTTTGGTGTAACCTTACTAAGACTAAAGCTAGATCTATATGCTGGTGACTAACAATAAAAAAGTGTGCGCCCAACGATAAAAATTGAGAATAGGTTATATTATGCTACAGAATGTACACCTAGATCTATCAATGAAAGACATGAAAGGGAATATATTCTCCATAAGATCTAGAAACTAGTACGCCTAAGGCCTAGTGTAATTCTAGCTCTGGGCGATTTTACGTACCCAAAACGATAGATTACCAAAAGTAGATATAGGGCTTAAGTAAAAAAAACAAACAATATAGGCTCCCTATATAAAAACAGGACTGTTTACTTAGAATTAGGCGCTAAACAATAAATTGCTCCTAAAATCAGTCTTATAATTTTTAAAAATTAAGTTTGATAGACTAAATAACTAATTACACACAAAAGCGCGATTAAATTTCAATTAATAAACAAATCTTCGAATTTTTTTTAAAGCAAATTAAGCACCGGATGTAAACAAAGCTCGGTTATGATATCAATGGAAACGGTAAATTACTGTAGTGTAAAACTAGTGAAAGGGTCATTTACTTATATTTTTTTAGCCTTCTTTTTAAATGGTTAGCAAGCAGCAATTAAATAACCTATCGGTAAGGGTTAATTTACCATTTTAGGACCTCAATATTGGCCGAAGTTATAGATCTAGATCTAATGTGGAAGAAACGTGACTGGGTGAAACTCCATTTCTGCCTCAGCGTAAAAGTAAAAGACAAAAGTATAAAAAGTATTTTATTCCCCGCTTCACGTTCACCTCCAGTTGATCGTATTTTATTGTAAGCACAACCAAAACACACAAAAACGTTAGGAAAACACTAGGCCTAGAATATATTTCTTTATGAACTTTTGTTTTAATTTTTGTTAATATTTTTTGTCAAAACTTGAGAGAAATCCAAATTTGGAATATTGAATTTGAATGTGCACAAGATTTAGCTTTTTTTTTCTCTTGAAAATAGTTAAATACTAGAATCTATAGGTTCGTGTCATTTAAGGAGAAACTCATAAATGCAATTAGGTTAAGTTTATATTGTTAAAAATATCTCACACTCAATTCATTATACTAGATTTAGATCTGTAAATAAACAAAGTCTATATGAACTCACAATGACCCTAGGGCCTAAGCTATGACGTCTTATTCTGACAATTAATTAGACTACTCAGTAGAGTCAATGTGAACTCATGGTGTACCCTTCATCATGTAGGGATTTTTCTACGCTATTTAATTGGACCTGTAGGCCCTAATGCTTAATTAAAATGTTTTTTTTACCTTTTCTAATTAAAATACACATTCATAAAAAAATAAGTTGTCCATATCTAATCTATCCCCTACTTCATCCTAGTGTTTTCCTAACGTTTTTGTGTGTTTTGGTAGTGTATATAATAAATACGCTCAACCGGAGGAGAACGTGTAACAGCGAATAAATACGGTAAAATGTAATTTTACCAGGTGACTGATTAGGTTTAAATTTTTAGTAGGCCAAGACAATCGGTAATCTATCATTTTAGTTTTAGGCTTTAGGTATGTAAAATCGGCAGAGACAAGTATTGTGAAAAAAATATGACTCCTTAAATTTTAGTAATAAAACTAATTAGGCCTATTTCACATTTTTATGAAGATTTATGTTTTAAAATTTACAAAAATGTTTCAAAATAAAACTTTTCAGTCATAAATAAAGACTAGCGATTTTTTTCATCAGATGCAACCAAGCTCATTTACTTTAGCAGCCATCTTATTTAAAGTTTTTTTATTTTGTATACTTATATGGGAGATTCTCTTGAAGCCACTCTATTTGGCTGCTGTTTATATAGCAAATCTTGCTTGCAAACACTGCTGTTTAAAGTTAATTTCTGGCCTATATTGATATATTTAGCCATTGATTTTGATTTATTATTCAGTAAACTCTAATATTTGACACAAATATATCACAATATACTTCTATTAAAGCCTTAACAATGAGGCAACTTTTTCTTTCATTAACATTACTAGCCTCTGCCGATTTTACGCACCAATACAATAGATTAACCAAGAATCTCCTTAGAGAATTAATAGAAGTAATCAAGAAGATAGATCAATGATGATATGCCATTCTATGCCAATGCTACTAGATTACTACTCACGTACTAGTTAACTACTAGATGTAACTAGTATCTTATTTAATATTTAGTAATACTAAATTTCGTAATTTTTGGAGGATTTCGGATTTATGTTTTATTAAAATTATAAGCAACAAAAATGTTTCATTCATATAGCCTACCCGTTTTGAACAATATTATTATTAATATTAGGTAGGAATATTACTTTATTATTATTAGGCCTAGGCTTAAAGCTTTTCAGCTATAAATAAAGTTCTGTTTAGCAGTGTTTTAATCTCTGAATTTCAGTCAAAACCATTCTACTCAATTTCATTATTTACTGATGGCCACTGTATTAAGGTCTATATACAGTTAGACATTATTATATGGTAAATCTTCATCTCAAACACTGTTCTTTAAAGTCAATTTGAGGCCTATTTTTCACACATCTAGAAATTGTGTTTGGTTTATAAAATCGACCCATCCTAGTAATTTTAGTTGTTTGTGGAAGTGGTAACTACAAATTAGTTTACTAGATTACGTATTTAGTTTGCTTTGTTGATTTTAATTATTGAACTATACGAACATCAGATTTCCTTTAAAAAGATCTAGTCAAATATAATGATGGATGAAGCTGCAGAGGATGCTGGAATGTGTGGAGGGTGTTGGTATCTACTGCTGGGGTGCATCACTGTGGTCATTTACATCTTCTATAATAAGCTGACCACACCAGACAACTGGGAAAAATATGGTGTCAAGCAGGGCACAATGGGACTGGTGTCTATGAGGTACATATTGACTTGGATCCCTTGTCCCCTCATAGTTAAGGTACATCATGCTCAGCAGTTAGTACAAAGTTTTTATCCAGATAATGAAAATATCATGATAAATCACGACGTTTAATAAAATATTAATCGTATCAGTCATAGACAGTTAGAGTTAGACATGATACTGATTAAATTAATTAATCATTTAAAGTAAATTTACGCAAAACTAAATAACAACAGAAACTATAAACAGTTTTGAACTAAGTAACATAGTAAGGGGGTCGGTGTGGTCGAGTTGGTAAAGCTCATGGTTGCTAAACCGAAAAGTCTCGAGTTTGAACCCTTGGGCGGATGAGGCTCGTTAGCTGGGGGGGGGGGGGGGGGGGGGCAGCTACTCTCCTAGGAGAGACAACTCCAAAATCTCCAAAATCAAACAACAGCTGCCTTGTAGTTTATTTTTGGTTGGACAAAGGCTATGGAAGCAAATCCAAAAAGAAAAGCAGGCTGAAATCGGAGTCGACATGTTGGCTTAATTGTGTTGGAGGGATTCCCTTCCAACACTAAAATTAAGAACGAAGAAGAAGAACTATGTAAATCATTGACCCCTGAAAATAAAGTTGAAGATAGATATAAGAACATCTTGGCACTATTTGATTGGCTAACCATCTTTGTAATATCTAGTTGTTTATATGTTTAAGAACAGATTTGACGCAGGATTAAAACAGGTGTATGTGTCATAACCACTTGTCTAAAACAGGTTATTTAACAGTTATACTTTTGTGATTTGCAATGTCCATGAGTCCATACAGCTCTGATAAGTTCTTATATAAAAACTGATATTTATATTAGAATACTTAGCCTAAACATCATTTCTGTTTATTTAGATACTCATCCTATCCATCTTTCTATTTATTAAACTACTCATCCAATCTGCCGTTTCTGTTTATTAAACTACTCATCCAATCCACCATTTCTGTTGCCTAAACTACTCATCCAATCCACCAATCCTATTGATTAAACTACTCATCCAGTCCACCATTTCTGTTTCTTAAACTTCTCATCCAGTCCACCATTTCTGTTTCTTAAACTTCTCATCCAATCCATCATTTCTGTTGATAAAACTACTCATCCAATCCACCATTTCTGTTGATTAAACTACTCATCCAATCCACCATTTCTGTTGATTAAACTACTCATCCAATCCACCATTTCTGTTGATTAAACTAATCATCCAATCCAATCCACCATTTCTATTGATCAAACTTCTCATCCAGTCCACCATTTCTGTTGATTAAACTAATCATCCAATCCATCATTTCTATTGATCAAACTTCTCATCCAGTCCACCATTTCTGACTCTACAGAGATGGCTTCTCCCAACTCCTGGCAGAACACGGAGACACTGTTGGCATTGTCCGCAGCAAGATGCTGCTAGTGACCAGAGACCTGACCCTGCTCAGGGAGGTTCTGGTCAGAGATTTCAGCAACTTTGTTGACCGCGAGGGCACCCACAGTACACGCTCTGTCATTGCCAAAGGACTTTTCTTCCTCCAGGGCCAGGATTGGAAGCGGATGAGACAGATTGTAACCCCGTCCTTTAGGTACAGAACCTCACATCTAGTGCTTGTTTCTTACACTTTAACTGATACTTTCTTGATAAGCCCTAGCGATAAACAGCTATAGTTAGCTAAGTAAACAAACGACATAGTTTGGTTTTCTAGACTCACAATAATACAAACTACAACTAAGAAGCAGAGAGTTTATTATTGTCAAGTTTAGTTAGTCATGTCTCTGGTTTAATAGAACAGTACCTTAATATGTTGTGTAGGCTTAATAATATAGTTATACACTTTGTGAACTTGATTTTATTAAAATAATTATTAGGTAAAAGACACAGTAGAGTTAAATAATTTGATAATTCTAACTTTTACTCATCACAAAAGTTCTAAAGAGCATTTGAATGTTTATTCTTTATTCAAGCTCTGTCAAAATGAAACACATGTCCAAGACAGTGGAAGAACGAGCCATCAAGCTGACCCAGGTGCTAGAAGACTATGCCAGACAAGGGAAACTCCTCCCTATCAAAGACATCTCTGTACAGTTTACCAGTGAGATCATTGCAAGGACAGTGTTTGGGTTCAGCACCAACAGTTTGGGAGGGGCGGATGATGAGTTTACAGCCTATAGTAAACAGATGTTCAGAGTCCGCGGGAGGTACATGGCCAAGCTGATGCCACTCATCATGAGGTTCGAAGCCTTTCACAGGTTCTGTGTGCAGGTATGGTGTTCTTCTGTTGGTAAACTTGTTGTACTCTTGTCAGGGGGAAGGTGCAGTCCAGGGGTGTAGCACATGATGGCTAAGCCATAAAGCTGAACTCTGATGGGTACTAAGCCAGGGAACTTTGAGTTACCCAGCTGTGATGGGTACTTAACCAGGGAACTTTGAGTTGCCCGGGTGTGATGGGTACTAAGCCAGGGAACTTGTCTGAGTTACCCAGCTCTGGTGGGTACTTAGCCAGGGAACTTAGTCTTGCTTTACATAGTGTATACACCCATTTCTTCATATCTCAAGGTCTATCAAGCAAACTTTACTTTTTTTCCCCAAAGGTCACATTTTCAGGAAAGTGATGGTGAATGTTGCAGATGAAGTAGAGTTTTCTTAATCACCTTTTCACTATATTTTAATATTATGTAGTTGGTGCCGTTACAAAATGTAAAAAGTAAATTATAACACTAAACTCAGCCTACATATAACTAATTTAAATTTAATATAATATCAAAATAAATTAGTAAATTTTCCTTAAATAAATTTAACTTGTAAGCATGTTAAGCCTTCTAATTTAATCTATTTCAAATTTAGCAGAATTTTATAATTTTAATTTGGGATTTAAACCACAAGTATTTTATATTTTGTCTTATTGTCTCAATTCACCAGGTGTTAAATATCAAGCTACTGGATGGGTTTCGAGAGGATTCTGAAGTGTATTTTAAAACAATTTTGAAAAGATCCCTGGAAGAAAGGAAAGAGATGGAGGTGAGGGGAGAGAAGGTGCCACAAGATTTCCTGCAGAGTTTGATACAGGCTAAAGCAGCTGGGGACAGGGGGGAGCTGGTTGGTGAGTTGTGTTGGATGTTGTGGAGTTGTTAAACATGATAACACAGGGTGGAGTGGTGGAGTGGTAGAGCAATTGGTTGTTGCCCAGAAGACTTAAATTCAGTTTCATGTCACAGTTCAACTATTCTGTATCTTTGCAATCAGGGGCGTAGCGAGGGGGGGGGGGGGGGGGCAGGGGGTGCGGACCGCACCGGGTGACACCATTTAGGGGGGTGATACCAAGGCAAAAAATAGCAAAATATATAGAGAAAAACTTGAGGGGGGGGTGCAAATCGAAAGTTTGAGGGGCGGGGGTGCAAATCGAAAACTTGAAAGTTTGTCCCCGGGAAGGGTGGCAACGCCTCTGGGGGGGTGACACCATTAAGTGCCGCACCGGGTGACACCCGACCTCGCTACGCCACTGCCTGCAATTTTTTTTTTTGCTAGTGACTGTTATGAGTTTATAGGGATAAATTTTCTCAGATAGCACGGATGACATAGATGATGACATGTCGCGTCACAGTGTCAGCAGGGACAAGCTGCCAAAGACGATGTCCAGCGATGAGTTGATGGGTCAGTCTCTGGTGGTCATACTGGCTGGGTTTGAGACCACAGCCATAACCCTACAGCTGTGTTTGTATTTGCTGGCCAAACACCCTGACGTCCAGGTAATTCAGACATAACACTGTAGCTTATATTTCTCTGATGTCATCAGTCTATGAGCTTTAATGGGTACCTGACTTGACCCACAGACATAACACTGTAACTTATATTTTTTCTCAGACGGTCATCAACTTATGAGCTTTAATGGGTACCAGATTCGACCTAGCTCTGACTGGCTTCTGATAAGGTCAACACAACTCTAATGGGTGCCAGACAACCCATCTCTAATGGGTACCAGACAACCCAACTGTAATGGGTACCTGACTTGGGTCAACCCCACTCTAATGGGTACCTGACAACCCACCTCTAATGGGTACCAGACAACCCAACTCTAATGGGTACCTGACTGGGGTCAACCCCACTCTAATGGGTACCTGACAACCCAACTCTAATGGGTACCTGACAACCCAACTCTAATGGGTACCAGACAACCCAACTCTAATGGGTACCAGACTTTGGTCAACCCAACTCTAATGGGTACCTGACAACCCACCTCTAATGGGTACCAGACAACCCAACTCTAATGGGTACCAGACTGGGGTCAACCCAACTGTAATGGGTACCTGACTGGGGTCAACCCCACTCTAATGGGGACCTGACAACCCAACTCTAATGGTACCAGACAACCCAACTCTAATGGGTACCAGACTGGGGTCAACCCAACTGTAATGGGTACCTGACTGGGGTCAACCCCACTCTAATGGGGACCTGACAACCCAACTCTAATGGTACCAGACAACCCAACTCTAATGGGTACCTGACAACCCACCTCTAATGGGTACCTGACAACCCAACTCTAATGGGTACCAGACAACCCCACTCTAATGGGTATCAGACTTTGGTCAACCCAACTCTAATGGGTACCTGACAACCCAACTCTAATGGGTACCTGACAACCCCACTCTAATGGGTACCAGACAACCCAACACTAATGGGTACCAGGCATTTCAAGCCTGGTTTTCTGTTGGTCAGGGAATGTGAAATGTATTTGTCTTATGCAAACAAATATAACCAGAGACTGGAATAGATAAGTCAGTTTTCATCTCCAGGACAAAATATGTGACGAGATTGAAAGAGTAGTCCAGGGGGAAACGCCCACCTATGAAGAGCTGCAGCAGTTGACCTACATAGAACAGGTGATCAACGAGACCTTGAGGCTGTATCCCCCCGCCCCCATCATGTCCAGGAAAGCTGCACAGACCAAAACTTATGGGAAAATCACCATCCCTAAGGGGGCGGGGGTCTGGATCCCTATCTTTGCTATCCTCACTGACCCCAAACATTACCCTGACCCCGAAAAATTTGACCCGGAAAGATTTTCGGAAAAAAACACTGCCAAACGTGACCCCATGGCCTTCATGCCTTTTGGATATGGCCCCAGGATTTGTATTGGGATGAGACTTGCCTTACTGGAATTAAAGATGGCGCTGGCTACACTGCTCAGAAAAGTTAGGGTAGAGCTGAACGAGGAGACAGAGCCTAAGAAAGGTGAAGATGTTGTGATTAAAACAGCTGGCTTCATCAGGACAGAGAAACCTCTCTTGTTGGCTGTCAAACTGAGGTCAGAATAACCAGTTTAGCAGTTTAAAAATGTTGTCCAGGTTGCTGAAGTATGATTATTATATTTGTTTATTTTTTAATGAGTTTATTAATTTTTTATAAAGTACATATGTGCCTTGTTTTTTTTTTAAACAAGCAGCCATACTGTATTTATATGTTGATTATATTAACAAATGCTTTTGTGATGTTGAGCTTTACATATAAACTAAATATTTGGAAATTTTTTTATACACTAATTAAAACATTATTTATATTATATTTTTGTTCTGTTGTTTTTGTCAGTGATTATGTTTATTAATATCTAGAATGTCAGTCTTAAATTAATACAGTTAATTCATAGAAGCATTGGAAGCCTACTCACTCATAGGCATACTCTATAATTTTAGAAAACCTTTTTTGAAACAATTGGTTGTAAATTTTGAGAGATAAAACACTGACAAACGCATAAGGCTGGAGTGATCTAGTACACAATATCCAACCAGAAAGTAGTCCTTAAGCCCGCCCAGTTTAGATGCGAACAAAGATCTAACTTTCATTATGGATATCTTGTTCTTTTTCTGTCTGAATTTTTTTTCCCACCAAACACTTATTATGAGTTATAATTTGAAATAAAATGTGGCTATTGATCTTTTCTCTGTCAAAATGGAATCAACTGTTTTAGGTGATTAGTTCTGTGGGTGGATAACGGGTACAGAACTGGCCACACTATGGTCGCGAATTCAATTTCCGGTAACCTGAAACGAGTTGGGGTGAAGTGAAGCCGGCTGGGCATAGCGCTGACCACACCAGCGCTTTATTATATGACGAGAAGTAGCTTCACCGGACAAAGGGTAGGGTCTGCGCTGTGTGACGTCATTTAGTGGTTGGGGGGGGGGGGGGGTGACATCACATTGAAAAACGACTTAATGAATATTTTTATAGTAAAAATAAAGAGGGGTAACATAATCAGTTACTGAGTTGACCGGAAAGATGCGCAGCGAAATATAACACAATTAAAGTGTATTAGTATAGGCCTTAATTAATTAGTGTTTGCGCAATCTCCTGATTACATTTTTAACTAAATGTAGACATTAGTTACGTTTTGTTTACATGATTTATTAAATCAAAAATGGAAATTGAAGCGGAAATTGAACGAATTGTTGCTACCATACTGCGTAAAGCTAGCGAACCACGCGAGATAACGCGAGGACAGATAAGGCCGCGAGAGCGAATGAGACAGGCTCTTGTAGCCGTCAGGAACTCATGAAGTGATGGGTGCCACATTCCAGCCGGGACTGACCTGGCATCCCGGCCGTCGGATTAGCGCCGTCACTGGCCAGATAACATTTCCCCGCTGCCCAGCACTGAGGTCATGACCACCCGCCAAGGGCGTTTAATCAGAGTTAGGGGAGGCAAGAGAGCCTCGAATTGTTTACACTCGGCTTGGTTCTTCCCTAGAGATTAATCAACAGTTATCTGCCCGTTGGGTCTAAAATCGATTTTTAAAACGAAATTTAAAAAAAAAAAAAATTTGATGTAAATCATGACATCCAGAAAGCTAATGAGAGAGGTCCGATATAAAATCCAAAAATAAATTTAAATAGTTTATAATCGGACCTACTATTTAAAACTTATTTTTTGTAACGCAAAGTTTACTCTAATATATATATATATATATATATATATATATATATATATATATATATATATATATATATATATATATTTCTTAGCCTAAGTTCAAACAAGACAAAACGTTACCAGACTAACAAGCTGTGTAGTCATATTGTTATGAAGGGGAGTGTAAAGTGCGCGGTGTGTGCTATTTAATAAAGCACCCATTGTGATAAGAATATTAGACCAAATAACACACAGGACAAGTAACAGACATACTCGACAGAATTTTATATTTTTGAAAACTTTATTTACAAAATATACATAGATTTAGCTAAGTACAGTAACAAGTTTAATTTGTATAAAATAAACAAATGCTTCTTTTGTAGATTTCCAGTAGCTTTTACATAACCGAATCTTCATCAAGTTCAGTGGCGTCACTAGGTCGTGTGCTACCCATTGTGGTTATACAGTGTTATCCCGCCTTCATCAACTATTACATGTATGCTATACTTAAATTAAGGCAATTTGGTGTCACCCTGTACCGGATGGTATATTTTATTATACTAAACAAACCGTAAAACGCGGAGTTTTTATTATAATTAGCAATATTTCATTTTGGTGTCACCCTCTTAGATGGTGTCGCTCGGTGTGGTTCGCAGCCCAGCCCGCGCCTTGTGACTCTACTAATCAAATTTTAATTTTTTATTTACAATTTGTATTTACATAAAGCTATGGCATCAAAAACAATATACTTTAAATCTGCAGGTCAATATTGCATAGAACGACAGAAGATTTCGAGTTGTTAAAATTTGTTGAGCAGTTAAAGACTAAAAATAACTAATTACGAGCTTGTGAATAGGTTCGTTCATTGATGGCCATGCTGCAAGATTTGGACCTTTTTAGCAAAATATATCACGTTATGCTTTCTTTATGGCTTTACTGTAGCTGGAAAAACGTTAATTTTTTTTATATTCATTGCTTTTGGATTCTCCTGGAAAACGTGTTAGGCTAGTATACTATGTAGTTGAGCAATAACACCATTTCGTTAACCCACTCGTGTTCTAGACCTTATGTGAATACGACTTCAATAACCGCATCCAGGACCCCTACCCCTGCTGTAATAGAACACCCTTCTGCTGTGTTAACTAAGTAAAAGAGTGCTTAACCAACTGCTCCCCCCCCACCACCACTCTACAGACGTCGGCTACTCCCTGAGCCGAGCCTCCAGCATGATAGGCTTGTCTAGAACCACAAACCCCTGGAACTTGCTATTGATTTCCCCGTCAGGTGTCGGCTCCGTTCTCTCGTTCAGCTCGAACCTCACCCTCCTGACGATCTGAACCAGTCCAAGCTTCAGCTCCAGGTACGCCAACCGCATGCCTATACATTGTCTAGGTCCGTAGCCGAATGGAACAAAAGACATCGCATCTCTCGCGGCTTTATTTTCATCAGAAAACCGCTCCGGGTCGAATTTTTCCGGATCCGGGAAATGTTTCGGGTCTTTCATGATCAGGTCAAGGGGGATGATGACTCCTGCGTCTTTTGGGATGGTGACGCCGTTGTATTGTCTGGTTTCTGCGGCTTTTCTTGTGATGATGGGGGCGGGAGGGTGGAGACGGAGGGTCTCGTTGATGACCTGCTCCATGTATGTTAACTGAGATGCTTCCTCGTACGTAGGGTGGTCAGACTTGACAACTCTCTGGATCTCTTCATATACTTTCTCCTGAATGTATTTGAAGGAAAGGAAATACAAAAATCACTTAATGATAATTAGTTACATACCAGTGACACAATTTTAAAAGGTCAATACGTTTTACAAGTTTGATCTGGCCAAGTTAGACAGAAATGTTAGGGTTGATTTAGATGTAGGTATGCGTGTTAAGTTAGTTTTTAAAGTTTCTAGTTTTTTAGAGGTTTAAATACCATAAATAATTTTTATACAGTAACCAATAATATTATCAAAGCAGTTGAAGGTATGGTGAATGGTGACTCTTTTTGTAAACTCAAACAGTCATTTCTCCCATTGAGAAAAAAAAACACATAAAAATTATTTTTATTTGATGTTACCTTTTCCCCCATTGTATTAGTATAAGCCTAGTGGCCTACCCAACTGTACAATACAAATTGTTATTGTAAGGTGTAGCGATATAAGTTGTGTCAGTTGACATAAGGTACACCTGTAGCCTGCAGACCTTACCTGTATATCCGGGTACTTGGCCAACAGGTAACAGCACATTTGTAGTGTGGTGGCCGTGGTGTCGAACCCAGCGAAGATGATGAGCATGGACTGGCCGAGTAGTTCCTCGTACGACATGGTCTTTGGTATCCTATCCCAGGAGTCGCCAGCAGCTTAGGATTAGAAAACAAAAACTCGCAGTTTTTCTTTTTTACTGCTTCCATAGTGATTGAGACTAGTTGTTCAACTTTTCGGTATATGACCAATGAAAGTCGTTTATTGCATTTTTATACATTAGTATAAAAACATAGGTAACATATACGAACCCTTCATTTTCATGTTAAATAATTTAAAAATTAAGATATGAATCAGAATATACTTTTATTTCGGTTGAAAGTTAAATTATACACTACAATGTACAAATATAAAAATGAGTTTTTTAAATCAAGTAACTTCCGTGTATTTCATTAGGGTATAATTAAAAGTGAAATATAGCGAACATATACTATCAGTCACCCCTCAACCACCCACCCCCTTCCCCCTTCCCAAACAATTTTAAATTTGTAGTTTGATGTGACTCCTCAATTCTACTAATTTATTATTTTAACCGGATCAACATTTTTGACAGAAAATAATACCATCTGTCTTTTTGGTGACAACCCTTCCCCCACTCCCCCCCCCCCCCCAAAAAAAAAACAAAAAAAAACCCGCCTTATAACGCTACTGCATATATCTTAAATAGACTACAATTAAATGATGAAACATCGAGCTTTCCTATTCGCTAAAATAATTTTCTAAACGTAACTGCTGAATCATTCTCTCCCAATACTCACATCTCCCTACCTTCCGTGCTGTCGTCCATCTTGTCCGCGGCCATCTTGTCACCAGCCTTCTTAGCGGTCAGCAGATTGTGCAGTAGATCTGACGGTGTCTTCCTCCCTGTTAGTTCCGCCTGTTTCCTGTCTTCAACGGTCCGATGGAGGATGGACTGGAAATACTCGTCGGCCTTCCCGTCAACGCTGTCAAACATCTGGAGTTTACATTTCTGGTGGAGAGGAAAGTCATGTTTCTATCAAATATTTGGAGTTTACATTTCTGGTGGAGAGGAAAGTCATGTTTCTATCAAATATTTGGTGTTTACATTTCTGGTGGAGAGGAAAGTCATGTTTCTATCAAATATTTGGAGTTTACATTTCTGGTGGAGAGGAAAGTCATGTTTCTATCAAATATTTGGAGTTTACATTTCTGGTGGAGAGGAAAGTCATGTTTCTATCAAATATTTGGAGTTTACATTTCTGGTGGAGAGGAAAGTCATGTTACTATCAAATATTTGGAGTTTGCATTTCTGGTGGAGATTGAAGACATGTTTCTGTCAAACATAGTAATCGTACAATTAAAACTTTTAACAAAAAAATAAATAAATAAAACTACATAAAAAAAAACACTTTATTATTACACTAGACGTTTTGGACTACAGAAGACAGTAAGCTGGATTATCAGTCGTAGATCCGAATGGTTATTGTCTAAGCATACTGAGGGTGGAAACATATTGGAACAATTCTATTGACATAGTGTTAAAATAAATTCTTACTGTCGATGACATTTTTACTAAACTGTATTATATAAAAAATACCTCATTCTTAAATACCCCTATGCTAACTATCCGGGTACTCCCTACATTCGGGTACACAAATATCCGGTCTATATACCCCTCCCTCCCTTTACCTTAACTAAAAATGTGTGCAGTCTCCTGGCTTGAAACAGTATCAACATGATCAGGTTCATGAACTTGCTGTTGACCTTGAAAACGTTCTTAGCGTAGTTGGTGAACTCGTCATCTGCCTTCCCCAGGCAGTCCGTATTGAGGCTGAAGGCCGTTCTCGCGATGATCTCGCTGGTGAACTGGCCGGTGATGGTCTTGATGGGCACAAGCTTGCCCTCGCGGGCGTGGTCTTCCAACACACGTGACAGCTTGAGGGACGACTCGTGGATGAAGTCGGTAACCAGTTTCAGCTTTCCTGTGCTGGATATGTATAAAGAGAAACATCACAATCAGCAGCTCTAAAGTGTGATGAAAACGTAAAGAAATCGCTCTCTTCTAGGTAAAGCTGAGCAATTTTTATAATGGAAGACTAAACACCAACACTATCATTCTTAGAACCACCATATCAACACTCACCTGAAAGAGGGCGTGGTCACGTGACGGATTCTCCTCCAATCCTGGCCGTTGAGGAAGAACAAACCTTTCTCTAGAGGTGAGTTGGACACGATGAGGATGGACCTGTCCACGAAGTTATTGAAATCCTTGACCATGACATTTCTCAGAATGTCAAGGTCGCGGGTCACCAGCATCAGCCCGCCAATGTTCAAGCCAACCGTGTCGCCCTCTTTTAAAATTATATCCGTCACTGCTTTCCTGCAAGTGAATAGAAGTCAATGTAATGTTACGCTTAATCTCATTGTCTTAAACTAAACTAAACTAAATCAAATCAAAACCCCATTACAATATAACGCTAACCCAACAAAAATCGATTAAATAAAAGACACAAATAAAATCCCGACTCTACCATTACTACCAACGTTAGAAATAAAACTTGAGCCAAAGTTGCTTGAGACTACAGAAGCTAAGACAATAAAACTCAGACAATATTCAAGTCAAATCTGTTTGAACAATAAGTAGCCTTTTGTAATCTTTATGGCACATCTGTTGTCTAATTAATTTTAAAGAATGCCCTGAGACCATTTCCAGAACAAGGCAATACCTTAGAATTGGGATTGAGTTATTTAAGAAAAACATTGCATACATTCATATCATGAAAATATTTAGATATCTGTTTATTAACACATAGTACTAGATTAAAATAATACGAGCCGACCCGCGGCATATCATACGCCGCTATTTAGTTGTTTTATTTTCTACTTTTCAGTAATTCATAATTTGTGTATACGACAGTACCAATGCTGCCACTGAAAATATTTGCTTTAAAACACTAGCAGTAGGTCGTTAAGGACGATACTACCCCCTACCCTACAGCCCCCCCCCCACGTGAAAGCAGCCTCTTTAATTACCTCCCCTAAGTTTAAAATCGTTTCAAACTAAATTATCTGCCCCTAATAAGCGTCACTAAACCCGGCTCTACGATTGTAAACATTTAGCGTGAACCACAGCTCACCAGACTTCCTAGAGAGGAAGAGAGGGGACTGCCAGGCGCGCTGACAGCTTGTTTTCAAACGTCTCCAAGAAGAGAATTATATATATAGATTATCTTTAAACTTGATCACTGCCTTGTTTGCACCTTTTTGTACTTGTAATTTTATGACATTATTGTTGTATTTCAAAGACAAGTATTAAGCATATCACACCCAAAAAATAATATTGACAACAAACATATCACAAAGCACAAACTGCCATTTGACGGCACTTCACCCTCTTCTATCTCCGTCCTTACACCAATCAATTGCAATTGAAGATACATTTAGTATGCCAACACGGTCTAGATTATCTAGTGTCCCTAATTTTTTTAAACAAGTTAACATTCAATCCTTAACCATTGACATTTAACCTATGACCCGTAGTTCCTACCTGAAATCCTCAAAGATAACTCTAGTCATGCTGATGTGCTTGACGCCATACTTCTCCCAGGACTCCCTGTTCACCACCTTAGTATAGATGAAATACAGCCCCAGACTGATGGCACCAAGTAGCAGATAACTTGACACACTACAGCAGGGGGAACCCTCCGTCAACACATCCATTATTTCCTCACAGCAATCTCTGAACTGGTATTCTTACTCTGCTGATGCTCCTAAAGTAGAAATACGAAGAACTAAACCTTTATATATCACACGACAGGCCTTTCTCTCAACTCTCATTAATGCCACGGCCTAGATCTACTTTCTGTTCGTACTTTACGACTGACGAAACATTGACTGTATATGGCATAAGGGAACAACACCCTCGGTGTGTAGCAGAGGTCAGCCGTGTTCAGTCAAGTAGAACACGTCCAGATAACAAATACAGTCTCGAGTTCTTCGACCTATTTTGTTGCATAAGCCTGAACTGTTACCTTTTTTGGAATCCGAATCTATAACGATAAAACAAAATTGCTTCAATAAAATCAACAGCTTTAATTACGATACATATAACGCAATAACATGTCCCTATTGCAATATACACATACATACTTTATATATATATATATATATATATATATATATATATATATATATATATATATATATATATATATATATATATATATATATATATTTATATATTTATGCGTGTGTGTTCGTGTGTAGACTAAAATACACTATTAACGCACCACCCAAATGAAGGCCTATAACAAAAATAATTTAAACCAAAATTTCGCAACTTTCAATGTTTAAAAACACAAACTGACATTTAATAATAACAGTCGAATGCACCTCCTTATTACACCCCCCCCCCCCCGCATTAGTTTTTTCAGTTGTTCAAACAATAGGCAACTACACTATATGTATCAATATACACAAGGACGATATCCCGATGACGAACGATGGTCAACTCGCTCTACAAGGTCTGCCAGATCTAAAACGGTGACCAGACAGATGCGCAACCGAAAAAAGGATTTTTCTGTTTGCGCTTTTTTTCTGTGTGCGCTTTTTTCTGTTTGCGCTTTTTTTCGTTGCGCATTTTTTTTTTCGTTTTTTTTCGTTGCGCTTTTTTCCGACGCATCTTTCTGGGAACCCAAAAACACTTAGCCTATGAGGGAAAATTGGTCTTTGCTAACATTAGTTTTACAAAATTTGATTTAAAAAAAAACTTTGTCTTCATTGAAAAGGTGATTTCGACAATAGCGAAGAATACAATACATATAAAATAAGGGAGTTTAGTTTTTGTTTTCTCTGTAAATTGTATGTCCTCCAATTTTATTTTAACTGACGACTACACTGCGCGTTAACAGATTTTTCTTCTTCACTTAATGAATTTGGATATACACACACAAGTTTATTACATACGATGCTGGTCATGTCAGCCACTGTGCGTCAAACCTTGAACGGAATCGACTGTAAAAATGGTAAATGTGTAAAAATAGGAGTTACAGATATTGACAGCTGCTGCAGCCAGAATGCACCAACGCAACCAACCACCACCCCTCTCTCTATTAGTACTATTTTAAAACCATAAAGTAGGTCAGTACATACTGCTGCGCAATCCCACTGATAAAGCGAGGCGGAATTTCCTTTTTGATAAATAAACAACAAAATGTAGTTCCCTAACTGTACCGGCAGTTTTGACGCATTTTGAATACTTTTTAGTTGCCAAATGTCTCTTGATTATAGAAGCCATAAGCATAAAGCGATTTTAATTTTTTATTCCCTTGTTTTAACACCATGACGTCAGAACTTAAAAATAGAACACGGGTACAGTGAGGTATGCCAACAACAAAACAAGGTCAGGGGTTGTCCGGACTTTGGTCATGCGCAACGGGCCATGTAATCTGCCAGAAAAATTTCGTCATTTTTCGCATTATCAGTGTTCGTATAAGTATGACTGAAGTGTCAAAACAGCACACTGATCTATGACGCCTGTGTTTGTGTATGCAATAAAATAAATTGTGCTGATTCTAAGATTTAGATTTCGTTTTCAAAGTCAGTGGCCATTGAAACAAACTTTTAACTTGTAAGTAGAAACTTACTAAGTTACTTTGAAATCATATAGAGCCTATATACTTATAATATAATCTATAACTTATTATGAATTTGCAATGGGTAGGCCTACATCTACAATTCCTAGAATTATGGACAATTCATTTTTTTATATGCTATTAGAATTAAAATAAATACGCTTCTAATGGTGCTGTTACCTTGACCTAGATCTAATTTGTTAAACCAAATACTTGAGATTTCACGCATTAAATTTCAACAACAAAATTACCCGACTAGTTCTTGAAGTCTCTAGAATGTAGCCATTAATGTCTAGATCTAGTTTATATTTTTAAAAAAAAATTAAGCTAGCAGATCTAGGGCTATAGTATTACCCTCTCGTGTTTGCTCGTCGTGTATAGAAACACCGAGAAACCCCAAACGGTCTGTGTTGCTTGTCTGTTATAAATCAGCTGACGCAGTGTGTCAGTGTAAATAGACCAAAGTACCCCCATAAAATTACTGGTGTCAGTAGGGAATAATGCCGCGGCCGAGGCAGGACGTAGTAAAATCTATAGGCCTATAAGATTTCATAAGACGTCATTTAAATAGTTAACAATTTATTGTGCCGACAATATTTTTTCTTAGGTAGGCTTAGTTAAGTATTTACTATTTTTTTTTCGGTGTCGGGGGGGGGGGAAGATTCTTATATCAGTAACAATAACAATGGTGATCTAAAGATCCATGGGCTATTATACTCTGGCCAGAGGGGGGGGGTTGATGGGTGGAGATGCCGAAATGGTGACCACAACCTAGTCATGGCTCAAATCCTACAATCATATCTCATTCGTCGTCTGCTTTATACAGCCAGTAGATTCCCATTTCATAATGATACTACAGCTTAGCATTCATTCACAGCTTTGCATATTTGTTTTCAGAGCAAAGTGCCTAATCTCATCGAGATAACAATCGACAAGAAAGATGGGAGCGACGGTATCAAAGGTGGACTTTGAACCCAACCTGACCGTTTGTTTGTCTGTGACGACAGCGGCTGTTTTTGTTTACTTCCTGTACAGCCAGCTCAAGGGCAGCGACAGGTGGAGGCAGTATGGGGTCAAGCAGGTCAACATGAATAAATTAGCCTTGGTGGATTTCCGGTGAGTTAGCAACAACATGCAATCGCTGCAACTCATTTCCTCATGACACCAACCCGCTCTGTTTTTATTTTAATAATTTGTCCTTAATAAATGGAAGCTCCCCCGAGACATCGACATACTGTAGAAAACATGTTTAGTTCCTCTGAACCAAGTGCCAATCAGAAGTGAGAGGACTCAGGGACATTCTATAGAATCGAGCCCTGTATCCGTACCCGAGACTTTCGGGCTAAAAGTAAAAGTTAAGTTTCCCTTTCAAACCTGACGGTTTATGGGGCAAATGAAGTAGAGTTCACTTGTTTCTGTGACCTGGGTATATGAAGAAATAGTATTGTCAGCACTATACCCAGCCGCCTTTACTTTCCCTAACGTGAGTTAGGTACCCATCAGAGTTGGGTGGACTCAGGGACGGTCTACTGACTTTAACCCGGATCCGAACTCTAGACATACGGGTTAGCAGCAGAGTTTATATAATTTATTATATAGAAAATATATACTTTTAACAGTGTCCGTCCCCCCGAAGAAAGTCTATCGCCCCTCCCCCCCCCCCCCCGAAAATTTCAAGTGTCTCTCCCCCCCCCCCCCCCCCCCCCCCGAGAAAAAAGTCTGGAAGAAACACTGGTTAGCAGTCCAGCTCTCTACCGCTAGACCACTCCGTCACACGAGACTTTTGGGCTAGCAGTCGTAAACTCTACCATCCGACCACGCCGTCCCAACCCAGTCTTTATGTTGAACATGCTTTTGTTATAAGCTTTTTTTTTTTAAAGTGCTTCACGCAGAGATGGATGAGATATTCAGAAAATACAACACTACCATCTTTCACAACACTAGAATCACAAACACAGTTACTTCCCATAACACCAGTATCATTGCCACAATTATCTCCCATAACAGCAGGATCATTGCCACAACTATCTACCATAACACCAGTATCATTGCCACAATTATCTCCCATAACAGCAGGATCATTGCCACAACTATCTACCATAACACCAGTATCATTGCCACAATTATCTCCCATAAAACCAGTATCATTGCCACAATTGTCTCCCATAAAACCAGTATCACGCAGTTCTCTCCCATAACACCAGTATGAGACAGTTACCTCCCATAACACCAGTACCAGACAGTTACCTCCCATGACACAATCACTACTAAACGCTTCCCTCCCCCATACAGGAAAGCTGTATCAGCTCTGATCACCGAGCACGGGGACACCGTGGGGCTCAGCCGTGGCGTGATGATGCTCATCACGAGGGACGTAGAGCTCCTCAAACACGTCATGTCCAAGGACTTCAACAACTTCGTTGACCGGATGGACGTCATGACCACCACCAGCGCCGTAGAGACGGGCGTGTTTTTTTTTACGAGGCCAGGACTGGAGACGTGTCCGGCATGTTCTGTCGCCGTCTTTCAGGTACCAGAGCCTTAGTAATTTTTTTCTCTTTATTTAATTAATCATTTGTGTATGTATGTGTGTGTGTGTGGTGGGGGAAGGAGGGGGGGGGGGGAAGAAGGGACAACTGGAAACTTTTAGTGGATATAGCATTATTCCTCAGTGGCTAGGGGTGTAATAATGTAATCTTTGATTTTTTTTTTGGCCCCAAAGAAAATTGCAAATTTTCCCCACGAATATTACCCATTGGCCCCAATGCCCAATTGCCCGAAGAGCAATTTTACTGCGAATTTGTTATAGTCTAGTCATTCAGGTGTTCGTCACTAAAAAATCCATTATTAACCTTGTTTTGTTTTGGCCTCATTAGGATAAGCTCAACTTTAAAATTCCTCTGCTTTAAATTTAATTGCAATTTGAATAGAAGAAACTATTTAATCATAAATTCAATGAATATTAATATCTTGAATCAATTTGTATAGTTTAATCTGAGCATTCTACGGGCCTCTTTTTTATGTATAAATATTTGTATTATCACCCGAGCAAATGGCATTTTCCGTTTCTAGCACAGGTAAACTGAAACACGTCTGTAAAAACATCGAAGAATCGGCCCAGAAATTGGCTAACGTTTTGGAAGAGATGGCCAGGAAAGAGATGCTGTTGCCAGTAAAGCACACCACTGGCCAGTACACGAGTGAGATCATTGCCAGGTCGGCGTTTGGTTTGAGGACAGACTGTCTGGGGAAGGAGGACGACGACGAGTTCACCCACTACGCCAAGACCACAGTCAAATCTTTCAGCTCGTTCATGGA